GCACGGACGTTGCCAGGAGAGAGTGGGGCCGGAGCCGGGACATCCGTCCGCGTCGCCGATGCCGTTTCCGGCGCTGCTGCCCTCACTGAGGCGTCCAACAGGGTTGGCTGCAGCACGGACGTTGCCAGGAGAGATGGGACTTGGTTTTGTGGGGAAGTAGATAGTCCCAAAAAGGAAACTTGGCGTGGTGTTACTGCCATGGCGCCCGAAGGGGAAGGGCTGCCTCTCTGTGAACTGTCAGGCCTCAGCTCCGGAGCTGCCACAACACCAACTGGCACACTTTCGAGGGACATATTGCCAGTAGGTTGCATGGATTGCGTAGGTTGCATGGGTTGCACAGGTTGCATGGGTTGCACAGGTTGCATGGATTGCGCAGGTTGCACGGATTGCGTAGGTTGCGCAGGTTGCACAGGTTGCGCAGTTTGCACGGACTGCACAGGTTGCATAGCTTGCGCAGCGACACCTGCGCTAACAATTGTTGGTAGGGTGCCTCCATCTGTTCCTGCCATTGCGTGTCCTGCTGAAGGTAGCGGCTGTGGCGCTTCCGAGACCGTGGCCGGAAGCTCAGTTGAACGCAAACTCTGCCGTGGTGCTGGTTGGCCTGAGGAGCGCGCGACGGGGAAAAAAGGCGCGGGCGCAAATGCGCACGATGGTTGACGCACTTCAATATTCTCACCTGGCGAGCCTTCGTATTCGTGGGGCGAAACGCCAGGACGGGTTTGGCTACAGCCACCCGCTTCACTGCTTCTATTTTCGCTCTCCGTGGGCAATCGGGGCGGCGTGGAGACCGCCAGCCGAATAAACGGAGCCAGCGTCAGCGCTGACTTGCACGGCTTGAATGGCGGGTCCCGTCGGGTCCCGGGCGCGTTGCCAACCACCGGGGTTTCTCTCACGCCACTCTCTGTAGCCTCTGGAAAAGGGCGCGCTGCCGCCAGAGCTGAGAGCGGTGGGGCCGCCGTTCTCTTCGGGGAGCATGAGTGTCTCGTGCATGCCTCCAGAAGCACTTCTTCTCTTTCGCCTTTTTTGCGTTCCTCCGGCTTCCCAGGGGCACCACAACTACCACCGCTTCGCGTGTGAAACAGGTGATGATACCCGTGACAACAGGAGCAGCAGCACGAAATGTGTCGCCGGTGATCCGTCCCGCCGTCAGTGATGTCCACCTCTGTGCCTTCCACCCGCTGCAGCAGCCACGCCTGCGCGGAGGGAGGCAGCGAAAAAGCCGCGCCTCGATCCAGGCGGCCGCCAGCACCGCTGCGGAGGGCAACGTCATCATCGTGGCTCTCGCGCCGAGCATGTGGCGGGCAGCTGCAGTGGAAACCACAAATGGCGCACGTGGTGTGGCTGCTCGCTGCTCTGCCACGGGATTCCATGCGGTGCTGAAGTCGACGACATGCCGCAGCATCCATTTCGATGGAGATGGCAATGGCCGAGGGAGCAAGCGAACCGGATCCAGAGTGAGTAAAAAGGAAGGACAGAGTCGGTGCACACACACACACACACAAACAAACACGCAAACGCCGACCGCCCTCACAGTCTCCTTTTGTAACCTTTTTTTTATTCTTGTGTGTGTGGGTGCGACCCCTTCCCGCCGCGTCGCAAGCAGCCCCTCTCTAACTATAACTCAGGTCTGTCCGTGTCGGGAAACAACGATGGAGCTGAACGGCGAGCTGCTTCCACGCTCGCTCCCTCTCCCCACTTCTGTGTGGATGTGCGTCAGTCCTGCGTTGTCGCTTGGTGCCCGCGGTCACCCACTATTCTTCTTTGGCAAAGTGGAGCACAACAAGCAGAAGAGACGGAGAAAGAAGTACGAGTGACGGCGATGGGCAAGAGGACATCAGGCTAAAGACCAAAGAGAGAGGAGGACCGCAAGAACTGCAGCGCGCCGTCGCCACCGCCCCTTTTCATTTTCTGTTTTTGTTTAATAGGGGCGAATATTGAAGTGGAGACCAATAAGGAGTGCACGCACACACACACACACGCGCAGGCAACGAAAAAAAAAAGGCACTCCAAAACAAACAGGGAATGGCACGAGCATCGGCCCCCATACCGGGGCAACCCCCTTTTAATGGTCAACCCCGCCTTAGCTTCCCCGTCTCTTCGCATCCAACTGTCGCCGTTCTCTTCCTTCGACTCGCCTTAGTTCTTCACCTTGTGCTGTGCCGCGGTCGCCTTCTTCAAGACGTCGTCCGTGTTCATCGCCTCTGGGAGAATCACGTAGCGGATTGTGTTCCCCCGCACCATGTAGGTCTCCGCCTGCACCGGATTTTTCCCCTTTGCAGTAATCTTCACATGGCGCATGTGGGTATTCATGCTTGGTTCCACAAATGTGATCTCGCCAGAGACGATAGAGGAGTTCAGCAGCTCAATCTCCACAAGCGTCCCGCGGAGCTGTTGGAGAAAGCCGATGAGCGTTGAAGTCTCCGATGCAGGCATGATAGCCTTAAGCAGCACGCGCCTCCTCTAAAAGTGTCCTTGGGCCCAAGTACCTCTTTTTTTTATTTGCTTTTACGCCTTTGCTTTTCTATCTCCGCTCCACCGCTCCCTTCGATGCTTCCTTAAAAACGACAACACACACACACACACACAGAAAGAGAGAGGCCCTAAACTGTGGTCAAGTAGAAGAATAGGCACCCAAGCATAGATGCGATGAGAAGAGAGAAATATATATATGTATATACAAATATGTATGCAACTGGGCGATAAATGCATATACGCGCACCCGCACACACGCCAGGGAAGGAGGACGAAAAAGACGTCCAAAGGGCAAATTTAATTTAGGACCACACGTACATTACACAGATATAACAGAGGCATTTTATACGTAAGCATAGATGCATTTAATTAGGGAGCGAACAGGTGAGGAAAAGGGGAACAAAATGCACATAAGTCATATTGTGTGTAGATATATAGAAACACTTCGCAACACAGCGGAGGGAGAAACGAAACGAAAACCACAACTACTAAAAGAGAGGGAGAGTGAGTTAAACAACTGCGAAACAGGGGGAAAAAACACACACACACACAGCAGATACATGGGAGAAAACAATTGGGGGGAGAGGGGGGTGGGGGGAGGAACACGTACAGAAATTTAAGTACATTGTGTTTTCATTACTTCGTTCATTTCCCACCGTTTTCTTGTCATTACGGCTCCTCCCCAGTGGGCGTCACCCACTGGGGAGCAGTTCAGGCAAACCCATGCGACGCACACGCGAAGGGGAAGAGGCGACGGAGCAGTATTACAAGCAAGACTGAAATACAAAGAACTGCAAAAACGAGAAAAAAAAAGAAGAAAAAAAAAGAAGCTGGTGAGGCAATCAGAGAGTCACATCACACGCATCCTCATGGGCAAACGGAAATATAGTTCTCGTCTTTGTTCTCACTCCCCCTCCATTTAACCTCCCGCTGCTCTTTGTGACGGTGCGAGGTCATTTTCAACTTTGTATGTGTCGCTCCACCTCTTCTTCTTCCCTCGCCTTTTTACCCCCACAGTTAGCTGCCGCAGCTCCGTTTCACTAATGCGGTTGCGGCGGTGGGCCTTTCGTCAACGCGGCTGGCGTGTGGCTTCGACTGGGCACATGGAGGTCACTCAGGCTACGGTGCGCGTCAACGAGACTGTCCACCTCAACCTCCTCCAATTGCTCTAGAGCCGACGTCGTGGGGTTGGGACTGCCACCCCGTGACGACGAGTGCCGACGCGACGCGCTGCTAAGAAAGGAGCGCAAAATGTCCAGCCCAAGGCTATGGTGATTGGGGAAGGACATCATCTGCGCGGCGTCGGCCTCCAGCGCCAAGTCGAATTCATCGTTTCCGTCCGTGCTGCCCCCCATCGCATCCCTTTCCTGCAGGGCAGGCTCAACAGCTCCATTCATGGCCGCAGTTCCTCCGCTGCTGGGTCGTCCGGCCACCCGCGCCTGCTCTTCAGTTCCACCGAGTATATGAATAATCTCCGGCGTCCCATCCGCCGAAAACCCGACGGATGGCGGCGGTTGCTCCCATTGCTCCTGTTGCTGTTTTTCCTGCGACGCGCCGAGCCCATTGTGAACCACCAAAACAGGCACCGCCCCCTGTTTTGTAGCATTCGGCAACTTCTTCTTTGACTGCAAAAACAACTGCGACGATGACGCCGCAGGTAGCGTAAAGCCGGCAGTGATGTTCGGGGTGGACATGGCGCTGCCACCCTGTGTGGTGGTCTCCCCATCGACCTGCAAAGTCTCATCGTCTGGGCGCTCGAGGCGCGACGACTCGTGCCGCATCATCTCCGCGCCATTTGCAGCAGCTGACATCGACCACGCATCCTTCGCAGCCGTCTTCTGTGGGTGGCGTTGTCGGCTACGCACGGACGCTGACGACATGGGTGGCGCCTCGGGCGTGCTCCACACCTTGCGCATCAGCACCAGCATCGGGACAAGACCCACAGCACTGCAGGAGAGGACGGTGTAGATGCCATACTTGAGTTGCCCCGTCCACTGGGCCACGTAGCCGCAGACCATCGGCCCGCTGAAGTTGCCCAGCAGGTTATACATCATCTGCGAGAAGGCGGCACCGGCGGGGCGGAGGCGCTCAGGCACAGACGTCACCACCGTCCCGCTCCCCGGGGGAATGATGGCGCCACCACAAAACAGCACAATAGAAATCACGAACAAAAACGTCGTCGTTTCGGTGACGAAAATACAAAGGATACTGAAGAAGGCTGCGGCAGCACCCCACACAAGGACGAACGCGGTCACACGTCGTAGGTTTCTTTGGTAGCCACCAATGCGATCAAGCAGGACGCCACCCACGATAACGCCAATAACAGGGGCGGTGACGACAGCACCCCCAAACCCCAACATGATGGTTTTCATGGATGCATTAAATGGCTCTTCACGAAGGTACTGCGTCACGAAGTTCTGCAGCCCAGTCACAACAAAGTACAACGAGCACATGGCAAGCGTACTACACATATATTCTATATTACGAAACAAGGGTACGCAGGAGGTCCAAATTAATCGCATGTTCGCATGAAGAACATTCAAGACTCGCTCAGCTGCACTCACGTCTGATGCAGCGGCTGCAGCGACTGTGGAAGCAGATTCCGATCTATTTCTGCTAGGTCGATCAATCGAGCGGGAGTCGACGCGCAACAGATATGCCACGGCCGGTATTGTGAGGATGCATTTGATATAAAATGCCCATTCCCAATGAATATTGGTGTAGGATGGCAAAAACGCGCCACAGGTGTAGCCAAGCATAATGCCAAGCGGCACTCCAGCATTGTGTGAGGCCATCCAAACCGACTGACGATCATGCGGGGCAAATATGTCCACCCACACGGGTGCATATACAATGACAAACGATAAGGTGATGCCAATAAGAAACCGACAAAGCAGGGCAAATCCGTAATTTGTCAGTGTCGCAAATAGAAAAGTAAATGCCGTGTGCAATATAAGCGAGCCCACCAACACCCGTTTTGCGCTGTGGTGAGAAAAAAGATGTCCTGACAGTGGGCAGCCAAGGATGTTGCCAAGAAAGACACTCGAAGTGAGTGTCCCCTGACGCACGGTGCCGAGGCCCCACTCCTCCGCAATCCCATTCTCCGCCCCAAGTGCCGCGCTAAATGCCCCCGAGTCAAACGACCCAATAGTCTTGAGTACAGTGAAGAGCAGCAAATTACGCCTCAGCAAAGAGACGCTGATGGGAAGATCAACGTCAAGCGGGTCCTGCGGGTTGATGCTAAGCTCTGGCGTCTTTGTGGCAAGCTCACCTTTCGCCATGGTATCCCGCGCGGTAGCCAACATGTTACTAGAATCCCTCTTATTTTGCATCTTTCGCAAAAGACCCCCTTTTCAAATTTAGCCTCCCCACCGCTGCCGCCGCCTCCGCCGCAATCCAGCAACTCCCCCTCCCTCCCACGCTAACCGTAATAATTTGAATATATTTTTTATAGTTTATTTTACGTTTGTTCCGTACTTTTCTATCCGCTCGCTTCCCTGTACACACACATACACATACACACACACAGACACACACAGACAGAGAGAGAGAGAGAGACAGAACGGTGTTTTCTTCTTCCTCCTCTCCTAGTTCTTGAATTTCGCCCAGAACAGAAAGCAAACTAAACGCAATAGATAAGCAAAACAAAAACACAAAAGCAGTAAACGCAGCAGCCAAAAATAGTACACTTCAAGACTACTGTGTGTGTGCGTGTAACTACGTATGTACCCTAGTGTCTGTGGGAAAAGAGCCAAAACAACAGAAGAACCAGGAAGAAAACAAGAAAGCAAATGCCGGAAAGTTCATACAGCGTGTCATTTCTGTTTTGTTTTTATTCATTTCCTAGACCACAGTGCAGGGCATAAACACACGAATACATAGACTCACACAGATATATATATATATATATATAAATAGGAGGACAAGTAGGTGGTTACGCCACAAGTGGAAGAGAGTGATGCATCCTAGCTGCTGCGCCAGTTATGTTCACGTGGCAGCCTCGTATAGGGCATGGGATCCATTGACTGTTCGCCAGGGTCCATTGCCTCACGCTGCGCGCCGAGGCGGTAGAACTTGGGTCCCTTGAATATGGCGCCACCCTTCTTCTTCTCATAGCGCCAGTCAATGTCCCCTGTGTGTTTGTCACGCACGTGAAAGTTACCATCCATGAAGTAGTCTGTGCTCCCTTCAGCATCCAGGTCATGTACAGTGTTACTACCAATCCCCCACTGGAAGCTCATCGCCACCGCATTACCTTTCTGCAAAATCTGCCGGTCTGTCTCGTTACCCACTGCCATTTCACCCGCCCCCTGTCTGCTGTATTTGCGTCCCAAAACAAGGTTCAAGGGAAAAGTGCGGGCATATGAGGGATCGTACGTCTTTGCCGCATCGAGACGGGCCTGGTGAACGGTGCGGAAGGGATCTTCGTACGTGTCTTCGTTAATGGCATTCCATAACGCATTCTTCTGCGGATGCGGTAGTGGGCGCGCAAGACTGCGACTGCTGCCACTGGCGCCATCTCCCTTTTCCATAGCCGACTCTGTTGTGGAGTGTGCCGAGAGCGACGACCCCGCCGCCTCCGCGCCGTGCACAGAAAGCTCCGCTTCGCCTACGGCGTCGTCGTCGCTAAACCCAAAGACATTTAGAGGTCGATCGGCCGTGCGCTTCTGCCGCTGCAGCAACTCCCGACCCTCACGCTCCTCTACATCATGCTTAAACTGCGCTATCATATCGACCAACCGTGACTTGCGCTGCAAGACTTCCTCGCGTTCCTTCAACTCATACTCCGCCTGCCGCTGTGCCTCGATTTCAAGCTGTCGCTCCTTTAAGGCAGCAACCACTTCGGCACTTGTTTTACCCTTTGCTCGCATCTCCGCCGCCTCCTGGAGGAGGGCGCGCCGCTGCTCCTTTTCTCGCAACTCCCTCTCCTCCTTCATTGCCTTGTGGGCCTCCATCAACCGCTCCCGTTCTCTCTCCATCTCCATTGCGGCCTTAAACCGCACCTGGGCCTGATGCAAACGCTCCACATGACTTCGTTGTAGCTCCGTTCGCCTCGATTCATCCAGGCGTGCGTTCTGATCGAGTAGCTTTTTGTAGACCTCCGCAGCATCATCCAGTTTTTTTAGGTACTCATCGTCCTTCGCCGCCTGTAGCTCGGCCCAGTGCTGTTCACCCGCCAGGCCGTACTTGGCCTTCACGTTCCGCTCCACCTCCAGCATGTTAAGCCTCAAGGCATGGTAGCGGTTCACCTCCTCCTCCGAGACATCCGGCAGCTCCGCGCCCTGCAGCTCGCTTTGCATTTCAGCACGTTGTATGGGTCCCGCAAATCGCAGCTCTCGCTTCGTGTCATACACCCACCGCATGTAGTCGCTCGGCTCACCCGTCAGAGCTGCGGATATCTCACGTGCTGCGGTCTCCTGCCGGGCGGTGTCGCCGCTACGGTAGTCCGCATCAATCTGCGTCCACACCTCACGAAGCCAGGTCATACGCTCCTCCAGGGCGACTTTCATCTCCCGCAGCGTTGCGGCGGTAAACTTCGCTCCGGTGGTCTTTAGCCGCCGCTTCAGGGCATTCTGGATCTCCGCCTTGTGCAGCTTTGCCGCAGCCGCGTATCCGCGCTCAACCCGTTGGTCAAAGGCCTCGTAGCGCTCCTTATGTCGCTTCTCCTTGATGTACGCATCGAAGGCGGTGTCTTCCCCCGCCTGCCATCCCTGCATGGTCGCGAACTGCTCGGCGAGACGAAGACGCCCGGCGTTGATGCCGCTGGAGAGCCGCAGCGTCCGCGAGGCCCGTTGCATCGTTTCCTTTCTGCTTCGTTCCCTTCTCCTTGTCCGCTACACAACACACACACTCACCCTACCGCCGTACGCCTTGTGTGCAGAACCGCCCACACACGCACAGGAGAGAACAGGAACACAGACCAAAAGGAAACCTGGTGGTAATGTGTGTGTGTGTGTATGTGGAGAGAGAAGAGAATCTATGCAGCCCGCCACCTTTTACTCCTCGTCCTCCCTCCCATTCGACATACACCACAAAGAAGTAAAGCAAAAAAAAAAAATCAACTAGAAAAATGGGAACAACAAAAAAAACAAACAAACGAGGCACAGCAAGTGCTCTGCATGCTGAACATTCTCTCTCTCACTCTCTCACTCTCGCTCTCGTGTGTGTGTGTGTGTGCTCATACATTATTTTTTTTATATTCCTCTTCCCTAAAGAGTACACGTTACAAAGAACATTCGTATGGATGTGGCCGCATGTCATATAACAAATACCGGGCGGGGGGACGTGGCAGAGTGGCAGTGGGAGCTCAGCTCCAATCGATCAATGCATCAGCAGGAGCCGCGTACCTCCAGCTCTTTTTCTCCCGCCTCAGACTGGCAGTGCCTCTCGCACAGAAGCGCACACACCGCCCACTCCACCCTCTTCCACGCCCCCAGCGCCAAAGCTGTCGCACCAATTCCCGCAGCTCATGTAAAGGGCCTGGTCAAACGCAACCCAACACACGTGCAGGAAAAAAAAGAGAAATCAAAAAAAAAACAGAGACAGCGGGGAAAGTACTAACAGAAAACAAAAAAGAGAATAAAAAACAACAATGTAGTGAAGGCAATGCGGCCCCAATACTACTTCCTCAAAAGAAAAAAGACTAAAGACACACACACACACACATATATATATATGTAAAGGAGGATATAAAATGCAAGTTTACAACAGTTCTGGCGCTGCATCGAGTCCACGCCAGAACTCAGGCACCCTGCGCCAACGAACAAATGACTATAAGTAGACAAAGCTGTACTTATCCTTGGCTTCCTTCACGGCGATGACGCATTCCATCGGAGTTGGTACACCGCGGAGGGCTTAACTTCACTCACTGACTGTGCTGGGGCGATCCACGACGCTGCCCCGAGCTCAAGCGCCACCGCATCTATCTCATGCGCCTCCTTTTCACCCAGCAACTTGTAGGCCGGCGACCGGCACACCTCTGCATGGCCCAACACGGCCGTAAGGAGAGCGGTTTCCTGTAGAAGTGGGGCATTGTACCTGCCCGCCAAGGAGTAAAACTGCGCCGCGGTATCGTAGTTCACCTCCTCCCGCGCCAAGATGGACTCACAGTACGCCTGAAGCGGTGCAACATCCAACGAGTAAGAACCTAACAAGGTCGCAAACACCGCCTCACGCGGGACAGTGAGCCTCTGCGTATAGAAGAACCGCAACAGCGGTTGAACGGCCAAATGGGGCACAGACACCGGCCCCACCAGAATATCCCGTCGCGTCTGTGAAGGACCACGACCAGCGCCTTTCATTTTGGCCGCAACGGGACCCACCTGAAACGTTGTCTTTTCCCCAGTCAACAACGGCCTTAGGAGGTCGTTAAAAAAAGAACTTGCAGCCACAAGAATGAACGGATGGAGCGAGTAAACGCTTTTTTGTTTGGTATGCGGATCCACAAAAAGAACCGTTACTGTTGCAGAGTTGGCGCTCTCCAAGAGGGACAACAGGTCGGTTTGCAAAAGCTGCATACTGCGTTCATGTGCCTGGTTCAGTTTCTTACGACTACGTGCAAGCAGAGCATCGCAGATATCCATGAGTGGTAGTAGCCCGTATGCGTCTGCAGCGCGTCGTAGGGCCTGCAAGGTTTTCCCTTCCTCCTGCATAGCATGCCTCTGCCCAAAGTCATTTGCGTCCTCAGCATCCTCCTCCTCTTCTTCTTCCTCCTGCTCCAGGATAATGTGGTGTCGCACATCTCCCCAGTAAATATAATCCAGTAAACACTCCAGCTGGTCAGCTGACAGCGGCACCGAAAGTCCTTGAATCCTCGAATTGCCCTCCGTATAGTACGCAACAGCGTGGCTCTGGCGTGTGCCCCCGGCCGCCGTCGAGGATGGTGCCACTGCTGCTGGTGCCGAAGATGTTGACAGTGGCATGGACGCAGTGCTTGGAGAGGCAGCCAATTCAAGCGAAGATCCCACAATGTTATTATTTCCAACGGGCCTAACATGTTCCGTGCGACAGCGAGTGAGATCCTCCCAGAACTTGGCGGCACGTTGCTGCAGAAGAGCGCGATGCACACCGTACTTTCGGTAACTCGCCGTATCGATTACCGTTTCCCCATCCCAGCAACGCGGCAGAACGTACGTGTCGAACATGCTAGTGATGCCGTTTTCACGTACGCGGTGCATCACCGCGGTGAGGGCGGCCGCGTTTGACGCCGCCGAAGAACGCGAGTCTATCTCAAAGTATCCATCCGCCGCGAGAAAGCGAATCATCGTGTTTGACGCGGGCTCGCTGCCTGATGCCCCGCCAAAGACGTGTACAAACCCACCACTGAAGGCCGCACCAAAGGACTTCTTATTAGGGGCCACAATGGAGATATTCCCCATTGCCACTGGGATCCAGCATGGAGCGGCGTCGCTTACAAGTGGCAAAACCGCGACGAAATTGTGATATTTTAGCGTGACACGTTTGCTGTGACCGCTTGTGCTGCATCCACCGACCACCAGCAAGGCCTCGCCGCATGCAAAAAGATGATGTTTTTCCCTAGGAAAGGCGTCCGCACTCACACCGTTGTGAAGCAAGGACCACTGCTGCTTCCTTAGGTCTAGAACCCATGTATCGCTCAAGATGCCCCCGCCGTCGCCGGTTCCCCCATTGATGTACATGCAATCACCAAGGACACAGGCCGCATGAAAGGAGCGCTGTGCAAGTCGCTCTGCCACAACATCCTTTAATGGACTCACTTCAGCTGCGATGGATGGCGGGTCCTGCTCTGAGGTTACCGTTGCCGGAATGTTCTTCTCGTCGCCATTCGCCGCAGTGGCTTTCCCTGCGTGAATGCGTCTTCTCCACTTGTGGCTATTTAATGAAAAAACATAAACATCCATCGATGCCAAAGTAAGATGCTGTGCACCGTGCGAAACCCTTTGATCTCGCCTCAGTGTTCTTCCACCAAAAATATACAAGCGATCATCCCGAATCACCATCGAGTGTCCAAAACGCGGGGTCGGCTCGTTTTTGTTCTGCACGGATATGCTGCTGTACTCCCAGAGACACCGCCACTCCTGGACGCAAGTATCGAAGCAGTAGAGGTCGCCAAGAATGCGCGTTCCACGGTCCGTTGTTCCCCCACTGATGTACAACCACCGCCCACCAGAAGCACATGCCGCGTGGTTTGTTCGAGCGGCAGGAATTACTCCATTGGAGACAAAAACAGGATCCCATGAAATATGTTGTGTGTCATATTCAAAGAGAGACGCCGCTTCACCCTCCTCTATGTCCATTCCACCGAAAAGAAGCAGCTTGTGCCCCTGCATTGGTGTCAAGGTGTGCCCCCAGCGGGCACGAGGGGTGATGCCTGCAGGGTTCATGTATCTGGCACACATGAGCGGCAGAAAATTAACTTCCCTTTGAACGGCTTCGCCGACGTCGTGCGCCACCGGCAACTTTGACGGTGAAGTGGGCAATTTTCCCTCCGCCCGCGGCTCCGGTTGCTGCGGCGACAAATCCGGCTGCTGAAACCCTTCTGTGTGCTGTTGTAAAGGGTCGGCGACATCGCCTCTCCCCTCCAAAGGCATCCGCTGAAGTAAGGCTCCCACCTCGCCCCCAACAAGCTTGGGGCGAAGAAACCCCTTCGTCGACGCAGCTGCCACACCCTTTCCAGGCGATGCGGCATCCCCAGTATTCAACGGTGGCAGTCGTTCCCACAGCGGGACCACCGCACGTCGACTGTCGTTTGTTGTGTCCGCGTATGTCGAGAACTTTGGCTGACCAAACTGGGCAGAATAGCGGGAGACAACACCATCCACGTCGCTTGAGCCACGCTCGCGCCGCGAAAAAGGGCGATCGCCCTCCTCGTTAGCCGAGATGGGGGTGCTGACGACGCCCTCCAACTCATGCAGTAGCGCCCTTATTTCACTCGCATCGACGGAATCCCACATGAATGCCGAAGTTCACCACAAATCCCTCGCGTGATGCGTGACGACGTGTCTGTGTGGTCGTGCGGTTTTCTTTCCCTCTTCGCCCTCTTCGCGTTTCTGCCGTTTCTTCTTTAACTCCCGTTGTGTCTCGCTTTTTCCCCCTTGGACCGTGTGCGGGCAAGAGAAGCAGATGCGTATGTGCTGGGTCCTCTTGTGCGACGGGGATTCCGGTGCACAGCGTCTCGCCAGCCGGCCAGCGGTACCACAAACGGTAAGCCCAAACCGACAGACACTGCACGGTTTCCCCTTTACCCAGACACCCTCTTTCAGTCACCTTCGCTGTGTGTGTGTGTGTGCCTGTGTGCTTGTGTGTGCGTTTTCGCCTGCATAACACGAAAAGGAGGAAAGCAAAAAAGGAAAACAAAAAGGAAAAGAAAAAAAGTGCGTGGACGAAAAATGCAGGAGGAAAGGAAGGATAACTCACAAGACCACATGCCAATAAGAATGTTTTGCGTAAAGGCAGAATATACATATATATATATATTTATTTAGATATAAATTAGTACATGCCATGCATGCACACAAAGAGATACAGTAAGTGAGAGAGAAACAGGCGCATAGAAGAAGACGCTGAGTAAAAGCGACAGATAAAAAGAACCGAGAGAACAAAAGTAAAATAAATGAGCCCACTTTCTCCAAACTTAACCGTTCTACTCTTCTTCATCGCTGGCTTAGCAGACGCGTACATGAATCTCCCCACCTTCGTGTCACGTTGACTGCAGCGGGGAGCAACAAGTGAAGACCTCTTCCCCCTTCTGCAGGGCCTGCTTGATTTTCTCAACGCTCTCATGGGACGCATACTCCACCACGACGCGGGGCCCCGCCACCACAATGCTGGAGACACTGCCAAAGCGCACAAACTCCTCCCACAGGCATCGCTCGTCGACACCCATTTCTTCCGCTTCTCCAGTTTTCTTCAATACGGCAATAAAAACGCACTTGGGCGGGTTTACCTTGGTATTGGCTCCTCTAGCAATGCTCGCGTTGCTGCAGTTGTTACCGCCGCCCAGCATCGCGAGACCAACGGGCTTTCCACCAACTGTAATCACAGATGGTGTCTGTTGGGTGCAGGAGGGAGGTTGCGAGTGCGGGTGCGGGTGCTGCACTACTGATTCCGATGCTGGCGGCGGCGGAGTTGGTGGTGGTGGTGGTGGTGGTGGCGAAGCATAACATGTGCCTGGATACGTGGAAGCCACATACTGCATTGTAGGCACTGCTATTCCTTTGTCTGACGCGCCTGCCACATTTGCTTCAGATGTCACTGGAAGTAACTTCACAGCAACACCGTCAATGAGAACAGATGGGTAACTTAGTGCGGCGCACCTTGACGCCGCCTCAAATGTCTCGTAAACCACCGTGAAGGATGCACTGCGTGGCTCAAGATCACAAGAAAGGAGGGAACCGAACTGAAGCAAGTAACTCATGAGACACTGCTTGTCAATAGTAAACCCAAGAGTGTAACGCCCCACCAAAGTCCTTGTCGGAGCTGCGGCTGAGGTTATGGCCGCTTCTGCCGATTGATACGATCCACACCATGTGGCCGCAGCAACGGCACCAGCCGGTGGAGGAGGAGGTGGCGGCGGCAGAGGAACTCCGATTCCATTGTACGCAGCCACGGGGAGACCATTGTGGCTGGTGTGCGACTCCTGCTTCTGCTCGTGGCGATACCGCCGTCGCGATCGTTGGCGTCTACTTCGCGGTAACGAGCTCTGCGAGGACGCGGCAGAGGAACTACTAGAGCTGTACGAAGACCGCCTCGAACGACGGCGACGCTCACGTCTGTGGTGGTGACGGTTTGCGTGCTCTCTTCGGCAGGCAGCTCCATCACGGCGGTGAAGCTGCATCTCTAGAAAGTCGCGTCGACGCGTGTGCGTCTCTGTGCCGTACATAGCGTGGGGTGCGAGGGCCAAGGCGTCCTGCTGGTGCGCCTTCTCCAGGTGGGTGACAATGGCGGCGATGGGAAGCTGGTGCTCCGGGTTCAGCGGGCAGCGCATGTAGCCTGCCGGGAGCGGCTGTCGCTCTGCACGATGCCGCAACAATCGCTGCATTTTCTCCGCAAACGTTAACGGAGAAGACGCATCCACCATTTCACACCGCCTCGCTGCCGCCGCTGACCGCCACCAGGGAACTGGAAACGGTGCGAGGAGGAGGACGCACCCACAGGGAGAGAGAGAAAAAGTTACGCAGGAGGAGGTCTATATCCTCCCTGCACCGTTGTTCTACAGAAGCACCGGATCTGCTTCCTCCACAGCGGCCTCTTTTTTTTTTGTGTGTGTGTGTGCTTCTGGGTTCTTACGGCACCGTTTCCCAGCGGGGCAGCAAAGACAAGAAGAACAAAATAATAATAAAAACGCCTAAAGCTCTACAGGCTGTAGCGAAAGCAACAAGTTCATATGTTCTGCAAACTTTCTCCGGAGAGGCACAAAACAAAACAATAAAAGTAACACCGCGGAAAAGCGCGACACTTCAACGCGCTGTGTGCGTGGGTGTGTTCGCCGCCATCTCCACGCTTCTTTCTTCACACACACTTCCGCAGTCAATAAACGCTGCACAGGAGCACAAAAGTAAAGTGAGAAGGGGGGGGGGAAGCCCTTTGCGGGGCGCGAAGTCGGGCGGGTTTGAAATATTACAGTGACGGGAACGCACAGTGGCAGTACCAAAAGAATTTGGAGGGGGCAGCTTTGACGTGCGGTGGCGAAAGGGGAGGAGAGAACGGCGAGAAGAACGGCAACAGCGAAGCCCCAAACGCAATGCAGTAGCAAGAAGAATAATTCAAACAAAAAAAAAGCACACGAAATAAGCACTCACACACACAGACACACACATGAAAATGTAAAAAGAGCAAAGTTAGCTAAGGTTTCACAGGCGACATGTTTATGCTCATCGGCAAGAGCCCCCCCACACGCGCAGCAGCTGCGCCATATGGCCCAGGCACAAAATCAACCCGCACAACGGTTGACCCCTCAGTGGGTATGGGAGGGCCGTGAGGATGTGCAGAAACATGGCGTGGGATACATTCCACACTGCTTTATCATTTGTTTCCTTTTCCATTCACGTTTTTATGTTGGACTTTCGTTTGTTGTTGTTGTTGTTGCTGTCTTTTCCCACCCCTGCCACCCTCGCCCTCACCAGCTGTTCTGACTTTCTACGGCTCACTCATCGCGCTGCTATCCCTGTTGGCACGTCACGACCTCTGCCTCGCAGCGCGCCATTCTCGCGTGCAGCACAGTTCAAGGCACGCCTGCTGACACACCCGCCCTTGTCAAACTGGCGAGAACTCCCCGCGGCTTTCGCGACCTCCTTCGCGGCGCACAGACCACTTCCGCAATGGCCGTTGGTGTGCTTCTTGTCGTCCTCGTCCACTACGCTGGCGGAGCGGACCGGCGCCGGGAGGGGCCTGCGCACATGCATGCAGGCCTCCCAGAGAACCCCGGCAAACACGACGAGGAGGGATAACCACTGCCCAGCAGCCACCTGATGGCCGTGGACGACGACCGACAACACCACGCTTCCCGACTTCCGCAGCAGCGTCAGGGCGGTCAGCGTGAGGCTCCCAAAGAAGGAGATGGTGCGGAAGACGAAAAACTGTCCGAGCGCGTTGAGAAAACTCATCTCAATGACGTCCTTGAAGGCCTCCGGGTAGCGTTGAAAGAATTGCCATGTGCGGGAGAGATCCTTCAGTGGGGCGACGTCGCGAAGATACCAGCGGACGCAGGCGTCAACGCTGGAAAGAACGTAGGCCATCGAAGAGGCGTTTGAGACAGCCGTGCTCGTCAACTCTTCCGCCTCGAGAATCACAGTGGCCAAGGGATGGAGTGCCTCTAACGCAATGAGCACAATTAAGAGCCATGTGCCGGTTGCAAGGTTGGTGAAGAACATAAGCTGATTTCCCCCCCACTGCAGCCGCTTAACGAGTACATCCTGCGTGGAATTGGTGAATCCGTCCGTGACGAGGTTGAGGAAGAGGAGCAAAAACCCTACCCAGGTGGTTACCATCGCACCGTCGCCTGTCTGCCTCTCCCGGTGCGGAGGCTGCTCCTTACCCAGCAAATAGAAACAACACACACCGCCTGTGATAATCACACAAGCCGCGCACTTACTCAGAGAATATCGTGTGCCGTGCCAAAAGAAACCAACCAACATTACAGGGACCATCTTTGACATTTTAGTCGCGAGCACAACGGGATACGGCAGGCGTCGCATCGCGGCATAACCCATACTAGACCCGAACGCGTTTGTAAACCCCATCACTGTCGTCAGGCGGAACACGGCAAAGTGGTCTGCCTTGGACGCCGTCACGGACTCCGCCGCTAACAGCTTTCCTTTCGCCGTGTTTCTTGACGTCGCTGCCGCCGTCGTCGCATTTTTCAAGGCGGACACCGTCGTTGCCATTCGCACCGACGCCGCAGCCTGCGAGCGCCGCAAAAGTTTGGCGGACAATTTCTCCAGCAGCAGCAGCAACGCCCCAACAAACGTCCCCGCAATGGCCTGAACGAAGCCAATCACAAAGACAGTAGACAGCTTCGCCATCTCTACGTGCTCCTCAGCCGCCACCACCGCACGGTATGGCTTCGTCACGACACGCTCCTGTTTAATGGACCAGAGGCCAAAGCAGACGTAAATGCCGCTGACGCAGACGAACACTTGAAACATCACAAACATGACAGACAGTGGCGGGGCGGCGTCCTTTTGGCCGATGCTCGTCTGCTTCTTTGGCTCCTCTGCCCCCTTCTGCTGCGGCTGCGGGCCGTGGGGCGCCGTTACCCCGCGCATCTTAAGAGGTGCTCTAATGTTGCCTTGCGTGTGTTCCTCGCGAGAAAGGAGGGCGTGCGCGTGCATGCTCAGAGAGAGCGAGAGAGAGAGGCGGGCAGAAGGTAGCGAACGCCAACCCCAGCAGCGATGGAGTAGACAGAGCAACGGACCAACCCAGCAAGCAGGCATGCAAAAAAGAAAAGTCACAAGGAAAAAAATCGATACAAGATAGATAGATAATATATATATAACGGTGCATGCAAAGCGGCAAACCAACAACACAGGAAGAGAATGCCGGCGCGCGTCATCGCCCCCCCCCCTTTCCCCACCCCAACCCGGGAGCAACCAAGGACGGCGAGGACACAACAGACACCTCCCCCGCGGCACTCTGCCAAAGGCCCACATACAGGAAGGAAAGGCAGCACACCCCTGCCTTCAGTTCCGACTCACTCCCTCTCTCTATGCATAAAACGGGGTGAATAATGAGCAAAACTCGTTCAGTCAACGAGGGAGACATCAATGGATGAAAGAGCGAGAGACGCAAATTTGAAGAAGAAAAAAAGACGTCTACATTGATACCTCAAGCCCAAACCGCGTGTCAGCCCCACGCATGTGATGCACGCCGAGCGTCAAGAGTAGATCCTCAAATATTTTGGTGGTGATGCCGGCGCCAAAACGGCCAACTTTGTTAATCCCAAATTTCAGCTGTGTTTGTTTGGCAAAGGCAGGCGTTGCATCCACCATCATCGCGGCCTCGTAGTCCGTTTCGCCATCGTGCATCATCGAGGAGGCACTCAGGCGGAGGAGACCGTTACCAAAGGACTTGCTTACCCCAATCAATGTACCCAAATCCCGCCAACTTACGTCACCGAGGAAGAGCGTACTTCGACTCCTTGCGGTTTCATCTCCGGATTGCAACAGCCTGTTGTTTGACATGAGCGTCTGCACCACGAGGAGACGAAAGGTGTCGTGGAAAGATCCGGATGGTTTGTTATGAACGCACAGAGATGCTAGAGTGTCACCCTCCACACTGCCCATTGGATGCTGCAGCGCAAGAGAGACGCACAGCGAGGGTGGGAGCACCGTGGCGAGGGAACCGGGCAGCAGGGGCCCCACAGGTATACACCACGAGCCATCAATGAGCAGCGGAGTGCGACGTAAGGTGTCCGTCTGTGTACTGTCGTGGTTATCCTTTGCGTCGCTTCGCGAAGGCCCTGTTGTGGTGCGCAGCGAGAAGGGACCAACGCGCAAGCCAACTCCGTAGCGCTCCAGAGTGGGTGAGAGCAAAACCTCCAGCACACCAATGGTGCCGGGCCGACCGCGAGACGGCAGAGCAGCAGATGAAATAAAGCGGCGTTGGTTGCCTAGTGTCTGAAGGCGCGCCGCGTGAGACACTTCAGTCCCGTTATCACTGTCGCCTGTGTTGTCGCTGGTGCCCTTGTCTCCGCCGTTGGTGGTAGTCTCCGCAGACCCCAACCGCAATGGGAGCCGCGCACGCAGGTCACATACGACCTCTCGCCTCGTTGAGAAGGCCACAGCGCCGACATGTCGGTTTTCCACATTTACCGCCCACTCCCCATCCTCCTCGCACACAAAGGACGTTTTGGTACCATCCGTCTGCTGGCGAACAAAACGCAGCTGCCGCTGCTCTGCGCCCGCGTAAGGGGCAAAGTCGCTGAAAGCGCCACTTATCATCTCCTCGATAAAAGGGCCTTCTAATCCGGCCTCCCACCAGCGCTGGAGAGCCAAAAGCATGACAATATTTTCACTACCTTTTTTTAAATTATTATTATTATTTTTTTTTTTTGCCTCGAACGCGTTACTCCTCAAAACCACCTTGTCGCTCCCCTTCTTTCTATAAATATATCTGGCGTTTAAAACAACCGTTTATTTCCGTAATTATATTGTTTGTTTCCCCCAGGAGAAATGATCTATCCACTTTTGTCACACAGGCACACACAAACAGCTTGAGTCTATCTCTTTGTGCGCACGTGCAACGGGGAATTTGGAGGCGGGGTCGGTGGGGGCGCCAAGGAAACCCACGTGCGATATGTTCTCAGCACACTCCCCTTTTGCACCTCCGTCTCCCTGGGCCACCACTCTCCTCCGTTCCTTGCACAGTCCAGCAACCCACACACCCCAGAGAGCAAAAGGAGAGGCAAAGCCGCAAATGTGTGTAGTTGCCCTCCAAAGAGTGCCAAACGGTAGACGCCAACGTCGCACCTCCCACAGAGCCACGATATGTTAAAAAGAAAACAAGTACGCAGTGATGCCACCTTGCCACCACCCCATACTCTCACTTTTTTTTTTTTTGTCTGCTCTACTCCAGGGAAAGATGTTCCCCTCTTCACCCCCCTCCTCACCTATGCCTTTTTTTTGTTGTTGAACACTTTTTTCTTTTCACTCCAGCTTTCAGTTCTCTTTTCTCTTTTTCTCGCCGCCGCCGTCGCCGCCAATGCACAGAGGTCCCCTCTTCTCGCTCCCTCGCCCGCCCCGCAGCCACACGAACGGAAGCTGCAATCATCTTCCCCACTGGGACTTCTGATCTGCCACGGGGTCTTCGAGGGGGGACCCCCCAGGACCCGTGCGCGGCACAAACTGCGTCTTTCGCTGCTCTGGATGCGTCGAGGAGGCAAAGCGATCGACCCCTTCCTTCTCCGAGACGCGCTCCACGTCGGCTTCGTCCACGCCGGGCACCTCACGACCCGACACAAACGTCGCTGCGAGCTCCTTTTTGGCCTTCTCAAAGGCGTAGACGTACGTGCGAGCGTACTTGCCGCCGAACTCCATGCCATTCACGCCGCAAAACAGCAGCACCTGGGCCTGCTTCGACAGCGGACCCAGACGAAAGGCGGTGAGTGTATTGTGGCGGTCGTGTGCGCTACGCAGAGCCCCTTTAGCCACAGAGAGTGCTTCCTCGATGGAAGTTGTAGCAGAGCTGTGATCGCCAGTACTAAACGTGATTGACTCTGCCGCCCCAGTGCCATTCACCACGCATGTCGCGGCGAGTCCCTGGTTGTTATCGAATTGGCCCTCTGCCGCAAGCACGGAACAAAGTTCTCTTCCGTACCGCACAGCTGCTGGATACATTTCGGGCGTCAGACTATGCGTACCTCCCGCTGAAATACTCGTCACGTCCAACATCTCATTTGGAAACCACCACTCCCTTTCCTTCGCCATCGCCCGATCGAGCACTTGGCGGCGCGCCTCAGCCCACTCCTCCTCATTTGCACCCGGATGGTGCAACTCCCAATGGGCGCGGCACGAGGGCTCAATCGCCCGCTGCACCTCCGTCAGTCCAGCCTCTGCGCAGCTCTGATGGAACCGGTCGCCGCGAAGCAGTTCCAAAAAGTATTCCATAAAAACATCGCCCTCCGCGTTCAGGACCTGGCCCGCCTCGAACTCACATCTCATCGGAACGTCCAGTCCTGCCTCGCGCAAAAACGCACAAAATGCAACAAAGTTAGATGATGAAATATCTGGAACCTCAGACGTAGACGGCTTCGCCGTCTCAAAGAACTGCTGCACAAGTTGGGGAATGGCGTCAAACACGCAAAACGGCTTTGAAAACGCCTCACTGCAAAGTGCCGGATGCAGTGTGGGATTCATTTCCACGTCAAATCCACGCACACGCACACGGTACTCACCCTGAGGGAAGGGCACGCCCTTGGCGTCTGTGTGTGGAAGATACAACTCAGTCGTCTGATTCACGTTGATTACGGCACGGTCGTCCAGCATGACCACAAACTCCCAGGCGGACGCAGCTTCTTCCTTCTCCTTGTTGGCTTGCGCGTCAGTGACAGCAGGAGCCGGTACGGCGTCTTCAATACGTTGGTAGAGCGCGGTGGCATACTGCTGCACCTGTGCCAGCGCCGGAACCGACCGCACCATTTCCTCAACCCGCAGCGTCTCCTCCCCGACCGCGTCACGTTGGTGCTTCGCCTCCTCCACTGTCACACGCCGCCAGAGGGACACCTCCACGAACGCGTGACGTTTAATTTCTTGGATTTCCTTCACACACTGTGCCGTCATTGCAGACCCCGCTGCGGCAGTTTTTCGCTTGAGTGCGTCCAGGTGCGGTGTCGGCCAGTCGTATGAGACAACACGCCGTGCACCAAGTGGCCACATCGTTACGGCTTCGTGCGACTCCTTCGCCCTCGCCGCCTCAGCCAAGTCTGCGCCGGTCTCAAGGAGCTCCGATGCCACGGCAGAAACCACGACTCCCTTTACAGGCGTCGTGAGACGCCTGTGGTTGGCACGTAGTTGCTCTATTTTGGCACGCCGACGTTCACCAAAAGGACGTGCCGCATTTGTCACGACACTCCGCATTAAATCCTCCGCCTTCGCAAGATTTGCAGCGCTAAGCAGCAGCGGTCGCTGTATCGCGTAGGCCATTTCCACCCCGTAGGTGGAAAACAAACCGACGAGCGAGCGGCGGAACTTGTACGGCGATGCGTAGTCTAAAGAGCTACTAAGCGGCTTCGTTGCGTAGTAAAGCGTCGCGGTGGCCGCAACCTCCTTCAGCGATCCTGCATGAAAAAAATGGAGCTGCCGAGATGCCGTTGTCGTGTGCTGCGTCACCGTTGCAGCCCCGAATTTGGCGTAATGCAACTGGCACCAAATGTCGTTAATGTGCGGCTTAAACCCAGCCGCGGCCATATCCAACTGCCCCCGCGCCACGGCATCCACAACGCCTTGCAAAACCGCCTCGTAGGGGGTGGCGTCATACAGGGCCTTTCGTGCGGCGGCGCTGATGGCGCGCACGCGCTTCTCCGTATGAATGTGCTCGGTTTCCACCTCTTCACAGCGGATTGTGTGCGTCCAGAAGTCCAGTGCGGAAAAGCTGAGCCCGTCAAGCGTGGCTGTCATGAGCTGCATGATGGCATCGTGTTCACTTTTCCACTCGGCTGGAGCGGTGTCGCCTTCGCCGTCAAGCGGTGGGTCAAACTCACCGAGCTCCACCTGCTGCGCCCATCGCACAACTTCCCTCATGCAGAACTCATCCTTTTCGTGTGGGGCGAGCGCGGACCATCCACGGCCATTGAGACAACGCCGATGTCGCTGCAGAAGCACTTTGCCAACCTCTGCAAACACCGCCGCAACTCGCTGAAGCACTTTTTCAGGCGTATTCCCCACCTTCTTCACGTCCGGAGCGAGGACGTCCGCGAAGAACTGCTGTGCTGCATGCGAGAGTGGAACAAACCGCTCGGCCCACTGCGTGCGGCGTGAGCCCTCGTAGTGCCAAACACTTGGGGACGGCAATGGAATAAGAGAGAGGGTCTGCTGCTGCAGGGCATCGTGGAAGGCAAGATACTCCACCGGATGCGCCTGTTTTAAGGCCCGCTCAAACTGCCGCAGGTTTGACACCTTTTCTTTTAAAAACCTCTCCGCCATGTAGGCGCGCTCGCGAAACACGGTATCCTGCGACCACTTTGTGTCAGGGCGGTCGGCCTCGTCAGTGAACACCTCTGGTGCATTGACCAAACCAACGTGATTGGCGGCCGTGCGGCGGGAGTGTCGGAGTTGGCCCAGATAACGCCGTTCAAAGTACGATGCCCACACCGCCGCACTATCCTTGACGTGCTCTGGGGAACCAAAGACCATGTTTGTTCCCATGTAATCCTCCACAACCGCGAACGGCGAGGTTGAGCGTGGCAATGACAGAGGCGAAGAAGAGCCATCTGCTGCCATTGTTGTCGTCGTCGTCGTCGGCACACGTCTACCAGCATGAATGATGGGAAGTGCGGTGTGCAGCACCGGATCGTTGCCAAAGCGTATCCACGCCGCAACGGCATCGCTCACATCCGCAATCGGTACAGAAGGGGACCACAGAGTTCGGGTCTCGTCGCTCTCACGAAGCGGCGCAACGTGATCCACCGCCGGATCTGGCTGCCAGATGGGCGTGTAGAGGCGGTGCTGGAGACGAGTACAACGCTGCACGTGAGGCGGCAACGCCGCCACGAATCTCCGCGCACGCATCATGTATGACTGGACTTTGCTAAAGGGAGTGTGTGTGTGTGTGTGTGTGTGTGTGTACTTGCCAACCCACCCAAGCACATTGACACACACACACACATACACACAGACGGGGCAGTCAGGGAAAGAGAGAGGGAAACCACATAGAGCGAGGCAGGATCGCACATGCGTGACGCCACGAACTTGACAAAAGCGGCAAGAAAGGAAAGGAAGTCCTCCTTCCCACGCACACGCACACACATACACGGCGCGAGAGGGAAGGAAAGAGTGTGTGGGGGAAAAAAAAAAGCGAGATCGACGCTAAAAGCGCGTCCCCTAAGGGGTGGAAGCATTGCTCAGACTTCTACTGAGAACTCCCTATTGCTACATAAAACTATGTGCCTATATCTACTTGTGCACTTTCTCTAAAGCTGCGAGAAGCAAATAAAAGAAATGGATAGAAATGGACTGTGCTCTCAGCGCCCCCGCAGCACACACGCATACAGAGAGGCATATGCACAGACACACGCACATATATGTATTTAACGGTTATGCTTGTCAAAGGGGAGTACGAGGCATTAATAATCCTGGCATGCTAGCGGCAATGAAAGAGAGGGGAGGATGAGCCAAGTCCTTTGCGCCGTGCGGTGCAGCAGCAAAGGAGGGGAAGCGGGAGGAGGCCGAAGGGAAAACACCAAAAAGGAGACTACGCGGGCAAATATATTTCATAGAAAAGAGGGATACAATTCAACCAAGCCAACGAACAACGAAAAGGTCAAGAAAAACTCCTTCCCCTCCCCGCATAAAACACCTCCTAAATAATTCTGATGACAGTGAAAAGAAATCAGAAAAAAAAAGCACCAAAAATAAAACAATGAAACAAACAAAAGATGCATGCCGCATCGCAGTGACCTCAATATATATATATGTATATATATCGCATGTACTGTATTAATTTTTCGCTTTCCTTAATTAAAAACCGGTGTCATTCCTCCCTCCCTGTCGTGTTTTTGTTTTGTTTTGTTTCTTCTCCCTCCTCCTCGCCCCCTCCACTTCACTCTGTGCTGACAGACGCAGACGCATCCACAGACATATTCTTCATCCCTTCTCTTTCCCGTTCCCTCCATTTGGGGTGTGCCGTATCGGCCGTAGTGTCATCACCACCCCGCGCCTTCCTCACCCACCACACTACCTTTAAGACCAAATCTGCAGCTTCCTCACCTCCCCGCCCGCCCAGACCCTCCTCTGCACGGCCGATTAGCTCTAAAACGCCCACGTCGGCGAATTCTGTCGTAGTCTGAATAAATTATCCTGCTGCTGTCTAACTTGTGTCTAGCGGTGCAGCGCAAAAATGCTGACGCCGCCACCACCTGCAGCGAAAAGGACGCTACCATCATGGTTTGCTTTTAGCTGCGTAAAGGCGACGTTAGGAACTACATCGTGTGTCTTACGCGTATCAAGTGAGTAGAGGTTGAGCCCCCGCGCGGTAGAGACAACCACGTAGCCGCTATCTAAAAGCGCGAGGTCAAGGATCGGGTCCCTTAGGTGGAGTTCGTGCATTGGTTCATTCATGCGGCGTGCATCCCAGACAAGGAATGAGCCGTCTAGGGACGCCGTCAAGAGGGCGTTGCGGTGAAGCAGGATTGACGTAATGGTGTCTGTGTGGCTGCCTTTCAGCCGATGCAGCGGTGTGCCTTGGGCGGCCACCGAGGCTGTGGTTGTTAAATTGGCACGATTGCTGCCACTACGGGTGTCCCACACTTTAACCACCGAGTCACGTGAGCCTGTGAAGAGAATGCGGTCGCCGTCCTCAGCGGCGCGAATGACGGTGATATAATCCCCATGGGCCTTTTCAAAGCGTCGCAAAGGTTGAGAGGTGTGACCATTAAGAAGAACTAAGTCGTGCTGCAGCCCGAACTCAGAAAACTTGTCGGTGGGGGCACTTTCTGCGGTACATACGATGAGACTTCCTAGCGCGGCCAACGCAGTCAGTGTGACATTTTCCCTTCGCGATATCGTCTCTCCGTTTGTCCACGCCCCTGTACTCTCATTGCACGTGAGAAAACGCAGTAAAGGCCCCTTCGCTACGGTTGCGGACGAGTTCCGCTTCGTGCTGCCATTGTTGCTAATAAGATTAGAGCTCATGCTGCCGTTCTCACCCTCCAGAGCCTGTAAGTTGGCGGCAGGAAATGGCATTCCAGCGATCACCAGGTAGTTCCCTCGTGGCGGACCGTCCATTCCTACGGGCACACACTGCGGTGGGAGATCTATCGTCATTGCCGCCTTAATATCCCCTGTGGACGACTGTGGACCGCCCCACATGGTGACCGTCCCATCAAGGCGTCCCGAGACAAGCTCATCGCGCTGGCGAAAATATGCCATGGAAGTGACCGTGGAGGGTTGCTCCATCCTTTTCACTGGCACAAGCGAGGCCGCCTTGTGAGGCCCATCCCATCCTAACAGACGCGCAATAGTAAGACGGTCGTACACGTACTCCGGCTCCTCTATCATCCGCACGAGCGGTTCCAAGTTTTGCATTGCCCCCAGAAACACCTCATTGCCGCGTTTCTGGTCCGCCAGCTTACCCAGTGCCGCAATGGCCGCCCGGCGACTGCCTGGGTCGCTCAATAGTGCCTCCAGAGTCGATGCCACACCGCGGAGTACTACGAGATTTAGCTTCGCCATCTCTACCAGCATCTCGGAGCAAACGGGCATGGGGTCAAGGTCATGCGCCATCGTCAGGGCGTTCAGGAGGTCGTGCAATACGGCATCTCGCACCTTCGCCATGAAGGGCGGGTCTAGGAGGGCCACAATCGACAGGTGCGCCGGTGTCGTGATGCACTCCGCGACGCTGGCGACAGCACTGGGAACTGTGGTAGGCCGCGCCAAAGCAGCGCCAATTTTCTTCGCTGATTCCACTGGCTGGCTTGGGTCGACCAACTCTTTCCAATTTATGAGATGACGCCCATGCCTAATGTCCTCCAGCATGCGGAGGGTCGTACGAATGTCGTCGATGCGCTTCTCATCACAGAGGTCCACCTCCGTGGACGTGGTGATGTGAACCGTCGTGTGTGCCGACACATGACCGCTGCCAAACGGGCGGGGCGGGGTTGCCGCGGCCACAGAAGCCTCCACAGTGGCAGCCGCTGTCGACTGCGGCTGTGCCTGCTGCTGTTGGAGTAGCTGGTCTAAGCCGCCCCCGTTAAATGCATTGCTACCACCGGCACGAAACACATCCATTCTCTCGACTTGAAAACTTCCCTACCTCGTCCCCGTCGGTTTTCTCCCACTTTCTTCTTCTTTTGCTTCGCGCTCTCTTCGTAGCTGTTTTCCCTTTGCCTTATGCTTTTCGCTTCTCGTTTGTGCCTTTTCGTTGCACTTCTTATTTCTCCGTTTTCTGTTGGTTTGCTGCTGCTCTTGACGTGGATGCGCGGGGGGCGGGCGTGTGGGTGTGTCCACAACCCGCGGCAAGTCCCCACCACGACATGCAAAAAAAGAAAAGGAAACAAAAAAAGACAAAGATGGGAGGAACAAAAAGAGAGGTTTCCAATAAGTTGCGCATGCGTGCACGCACACGAGGCGGACCCAGACACATCTGAGCGCGCGTGTGCATCCTCCGCAGACGGTAGAATCAAAGAAGTTCACCACCAGTGCGTCAACAACACTCTCCAGTCAGCAAAAACAAAACAAAAAAGGCGAAGACAGTAGCAGGGTATTAGAAGGATTTCCTACCACCTTCTCAGTCTTCCTTGCAGAGGTGCCTAATGTCTACTTCTTTTTGCCGCCTCCTCCCTTTGCTGCCTCCTTATCACGCACCTTTTTGAAGACGACAAGCTGCTCCCACTTGTAGTCGTCGATTGCTATTGGGTTTAGGACGCGCCCCTCGGCCTCCATGCGGTCTGCGGCAAGCCACGCCTCCTCCATAACCATCTGAATGAGATCCTGCGGGCTTGTCCCCTCCAGCAGCGGCGGCACGTACGCCTTGCCGTCGAGCCATGTCACCTCAATGCGTGGGGTAATGCAGTCAAGGGAGTAAAACAAAAACACCTTGTCGTTCGGAAACGGTGCCCGTGCGCTGATGGCGCGCCGATAAAAGTCCATCACCGCCTTTTGCAAGGTATGCCCATACCCGAAAAGATACGGCGAGACGGTGATGGTGATCTTCTCCATGTGCATGAGAAACAGGTAGCGATGCATCGTGCGTGGTGCCACGACAGCCAGCGGTCGCTTTGCGCCAAGATGCTCAGGAACGTGCTCTGCGTACTGCACCTCTCGCTCCCACATCGTCGGCGAACTGAGCGGGGTGTGCCACGACTTGAATAGCCATTTCGGCTTGGATCCCTTCGGCACGTACTGTACCTCTGGCAGCGGCTTCTTCACCAGCCGCCCACGTTTCACGGACAAGTACTCAAACTCCCGTCCACCGCGGCCGTAGTCCGTGGGACACTTGGCGTGTGAATAGTGCTGGTGGTACATGTGTCGCGTCTCGCCCTCCCCCCAGCGCGAGACGGTGCTTTGGTTGTACATGTACTTGTTGTGGTTGCCGCGCCACATGGCGTAGTACGGCAAGGGATAGACGAGGCCTTTGAGGTGCCCAACATGCGGCCGCAGTCGTGGCTGCCGCGAGAGCGCCAACTGCGCCGGCAGTAGACCGACGCCGCGGAGGGTGTCGATGGTGTAGTGGGCTGCAGGGGGACTCATGGACATTGCGGCGGCGGCTCCCACCCAAACGCAACACCCCCTCCTCTCCCCACCCCAGCCACTCCCCTACGAGCTCGGTGGGTATTCGCCGACCGGGGTGCCCCACTGCCTTGTGAAGCCGGGCGGTAGCTGAGCAAATTGCGGTGGAAAACAGAAGACAATGGTGCACCGCGGCAACAAATAACGGCGGCGGGACGGGGGAATTTCTCTCAAGAGGAACAAAAAAACGCACAGAAGCGAGAAATAGAGACACTCAACAGCAGCCACGAAGACGGCGCAATGAGCCAAAACAACACGGCCAACAACAGCAAGATATAAAAAGGGCCTTCATACGTGCGTGCGTGAGCCGCACCAAGAGAGGGAGAGAGCGAGAGAGAAAAATAGTCGGCACCGCGGAGAAGCTGTGCGGGGCACACACCGGGCGCAAGAACAAAACAAAAACAAGCTCATGCGCCCCAGTGAGGAGTGCCGCATCCAGCGTCTTCAATTTTAAATTTATTACTCAGAATCCCTTATTGTCCCCCCGCTGTCTCCACTCCTTTCCACTTTCTTTGTTAATGGCCCATGCGTTAGAGGCAGCCACGCGCACCATTTCGCTCTGTTTTCACTCCGTCGCCCAGGGAACGCCCCGCTCCCAAGACCATCCCCCAGCGCGCATCACTACTCCTCCTTTCGCGCGCGGCGCACCCGTGTGGTGCTTGCGGGGGCGACTTCCTTCTTGTGCATCTGCTGCGGTTCCCCCTCGTCGCAGCGCCCCTGCGGCCGTGCCCGCACTGCGAATACCACGACCGCAGCGAGAAGCAGCAGGGCGGCCAGCACATAAAGCCACCACATTTCCACCTTGGCCTAAAAGAAGTAAACACAGAAAAAAAAGATAATAATGCAACGGTAATAAGGACCACTTTTACTGTATTGACGTATGTGCGTGCATGCATGTGTGTTAGGGTTGTAGGCGTTTCCAACAAAACACGCGGACAGAACGAAAGTCCGCATAAGAAAGCAAAAGCAAAAAAAAAAAGCATTCTCACAACAACTGGGAGGAGGGGGAGCTGGCATCGCGTCATTGCGGAAGCCGTCCAACGCTGTACGCCGGACTGCCGTCAGGATGCGACGGGTGTGGAGGGTCACTGGGAGAAGCAACAGAAACGCAAAGACAAAACGAAAACACACCGAGCCAGTAGCCAACACAACACTCAGACACATTTGCATGGATAAAGAAACAGAATGGCCCATGTCTGGTGAAAGAGAGAAAGAGTCAATAACCTTGTCAGAAGACGAAAATAAAGAACGAAGAATCCCCGCCTGCCAGCTTTCCCTTGCAGTAACGAAGCGCTTGGCCGGAGCTTTATACAACCTCACCACTGCTGCGGCTGGGCGGGACACGCCTGTTAAGGCCATCCTTCCCCGCTTCCAGGAAGTATCAGCCTCTTTCATTTCCACTGCCCATTGCCGTGACGCCGCTGATACGATAATAATAATAATAATAGTAATAACAGGGCACACGCAGAGAGAGCCACAGAAAGGGCGTTGTGCACACAGTGGGTCATCATCGAAGTTTTTAACGCCGGTGCGAACACATGCACTACCGCCGCCGCCGCCGCCTTCTCTTCGCACCAGTCAGTGGTCCCAAACGGCACGTTCTTCATCGTTTTAACTTCGCACCTCTCATTGCTTACGCGCCTGGATGTTATGCGCACCCGCATTATTATTATTATTGTTATTATCATTCGTTGCTGCTCTCAGCGACGGCTTTGGAAGCTGGCTGCAGCGCACTGCCTTCTGTGTGCCTTCGCCACATGGGGCTCCACGCCGTCTCCATTTTCCCTCACGTAATTCGCTTGGTATCTTCGCCTTCCCTCGATGACGGCGGTTAAGAACAGTACGCTGGCTTCCCTCCGACCTCCACCAGCCAGTCATTGAGCAACGCGATCTCCACCAGCGCCTTACAGCACATCTCCTCCCAGCCCGCAAAGGCTGTGGACCACCCAGGAATGCGGCGCATCTCCCACTGAACATTGGCCACCGTGTTATTCGTGAATTTGCCGAGGGCACAGAGCGAAGCTGCGGCGGCAGCATTTATATTCGACTCACTGTATGCTGCGCCACTGGATGCCGCCCCTTCCAAGTCGCTCGACGGAGCCTTCACCACGTCATGTGTTGTGGGCACCGTCCATGACAGAGGCGAAGTATGCGCGGGTTGCTCTACGGTTGCAACGGAAGCCAGTGCAACATCCCCCCCTGCATGCCCCTCTGCTTCTGCTTCCTGTGGTTTTAGCTCTCGTTTCTCATTCTCGTCTTTTGCAGCCTCGTCGTTCTTCTTCTCTTGCCAGTCAAGCGCGGCTTTGGACAATAATACAGCTGGTAACGTCAAAGTGTAGGTGTCACCGGGAGAATCACCAGATCCGGTACGCACTCCACCCTTTAATTCCTGCAGTCGTCTTTTGTGCAGTTGCTGTCTCTCTTGCTGTGCAGTCTGTTGCCTCTTTCGGAGGCGATAAAACTCTTCCTCCACGAGCAGCATGCGTTGGCCAATAATGCGCCGTGATGCATGGTGACGATCGCTCATCATCAGCGCAAAGGCTCTAGTTGTATTGTATGTGCTTTCAAGCTGGCACCGGCGCACAATACGCACGTAGTTGTGGACCTCAAGGTGCTGCAGTGCCTCCAGTACCATGAGCTCCAACTCAACCCACCGAGGCTGCCCCGACTCATGGCTGCACGTCGCCGCACCCTCCGCACCCTCCGCAGATCGTTCTTGGGGTACACGAAGCGAGGCCGGCAGAACTTGCCACGTTGAGGCCATCAAGAAGGGACTCATGCCGGGGCGTGAGCCACAAGATAGCGGAGAGAGTACCCGCGTGTCGGTACCGCGGGGGGACGAGAGATTACCCGCCGTCGTCTGCGGCAGGAGGTTTGGGCTACGCAAAGACGGGCTCGCGACGAAGCCTCCTGCCGCACTTTTGGCAGCAAGCGAGCGGGTGCACGTCAACGCGTGAAAGGGCAACCCCGTCGGGCGCGAGTTGCTTAGCGGCGACAGCATATGGGATTCCCTCTCCGCCTCCTCCTCAAAGGACTCATGTCCCGTGGCGAGGAGCTGCACAATGTTGGCAATGGTGCGGTGCCCATCTACTGCCTTGAAGACATCTTGAATAGTCAGGTCCGCCCACTCAAACACCTCCGCCGTGTAGCCCGTAATGGGAATAGGCACCTCATCAAGTGTATGATGCCGCAACACATACGGCTGGGTCACGCGACGAAAGTGATAAGAATGCGTCTGTGAGAGTCGTATGGAAACAGTGCGCTCCTGCAATGGTAAAAGCAATTCTTCCTCCTCCTCCTCCTCCTTTCTAGTCGTCAATTGCGACCAGTCTGCATTTACCTCCGGCGCCTCCGTTGTTCTGGGGGCGCGCGTTATTTTCAGCGCCTCCTGTCGCCCCTCGCGGCTTAGGCAGGCGTAGAGGGTCGCGATCATCTCCTCCAGCGGCGTCCACTGCAACAGTGCCGGGTCCTGCAGGGGCGTCAAAAACACATTCACCCGAGCCACGCTCTTGCCAGCTGGGTGGGAGAACTCATCACTCGTCGCCGACAACGGAGTCGTCTGCGCGGCGGCAGCGGCAGAAGCAACTCCCGTCGCAGTCACGGAAGGAGCAGCGGGATGAGGAAGAGGTTGCGAGGCAGCCAGCGTCGTTGCAGATTCCGAGGTGCTGTCCACGCTACCATCACCACCAACGGCGACAGCCGCGTCCACCCGTGCAAGCTGAGCCGCAGAGTCATCCACCATCGTTGTCGTCGTTGTTGATTCCGTCTCGCGTGGCGCACAAAGTGGCGACGCAAACGAGGCCGAACGAGACGAGGAACGCAGAAAACCCGTGGACATGTACCCATGTGCCAGCTCCGCCTTGCGCAGCTCCTCCATGATGCCGGTCAGCACAACACTGTACGGTTGTATAAGGCGCTCCGTCAGACTCGCGCTTGGCGTGACAAGCCCCACGTTTACACCAAAGACAAAACACAACGTGTAACGCAGAGTCTTACGCTGGTAGTGCAGTCCTGCGATCTCCTCAGGGTAGAAGAGGTATAAGAGACCAGTCTCAGCCTCCATAAGGTACATGACGCGACGGCAGAACTCTGACCTTGGCACAAACACATCCCTAAATGCCGCAAGTCTATCGCCAGAGGCCGCTGCGTATGACGACGGATCGCAATTACAACTGTTTTCATGCGCCGTGTGGCCATGACTGCCTGAAGCATTCTGGCAGCCCCCGTTGTCCTCCTCCTTGCCGCTGTTTCTGCTGCTGCTGCGCGCGTGGGTGGCGTGTGCATGTGGCGCGGCCGCATGTGTGGCCCGCACAACTGGATCCATTGGGGCATGGCAGTGCAAGTACGGCCCCTTTACCACATCGAGCGCAATAAGCAGGACGCTACGCAGGAAAAACATTCGCAAGCTGAATCACCAAAGCGTACAATCACACGCAAGAAGTGGCATGCAGCTGACTAAACAACTAACTACTGCCTGCGGAAATGATATCCGCATGTAGGTGAAGTCAGGCACGCGTGGCAAGAACACAAGGAAGCAAAGAGGGAAGCAACGAAAACACACATACACACGCAGCAATAAAAAGCAAAAAAGAGATACACAAAAACACAGAAAGAGAAAATGGTGGGCGAAAGGGATCGAAGATGTATCTTTGTTTCGCTTCGTCCTGATTCGTTTTTGTTTTCAACTGCTCGCATTTCACAAGTACATGCATGGCAGAAACACGCAAATAAACAATAAGCTAATTCACGCAACATTTCATGCAGCCAACTCCCCCGGTCGCATGAGGCAGCGACCTGCAGAGAAATAATGGGGGAGTGGGGAGAAGTGGAAGAAAAAGTAAATTACACGCGGCGCATGCCGCTCATAAGCCCGTCACAGAGTGCAGAAACCCGCAAAAATGCCCTTCTTCTCAAAAGATGTGTGTGTGTTGTTTTTTTTTAGGCTGCAAAAAAAAAAGTGAACAACACAGCATATAGAACTGAATAGGGAATAAACGCAGACGCACACACACACACGCGTACATAAAAGTACAACAAAAGCAGTAGAAATGCGGTATTTTTTTTTTCATGTGGGTGTGGCGGCTAACGCGCGGTGGGTGTCTTCACCTATTGTTGCAAAACGTCTCTCTCTCTCTCTCTCTCAGTGTGTATAGTTTGTACGCACCTGTGAAGCGAATTCCACGAAAAGTATACGTTTATTTTCCTTATTTTTCTTTCTCTCTTGCACACAAACCAGCGAAAAAGAAATGAAGCTTCGGCTCTTCACATCATGCCTTCTAAATCACATGCGTCTTCGTGTGTGTGTAAGAGAGAGGTGGGGTGAGGGCCCACACACACACGCACACACAGCTCTATTGTATTGTCTCCACAGTGGCAGGCAAGCAGGCAAGCAGTCAGGCAGGAAGTGGAATCCAGAGGGCTGCGGCTACTGGAACTTAAACTGCTCCGAAAGCGGACTGTTGTCCGTTGCGCCTGGCATGTCTTCCATCTCCGGCGAGACACCGCCGCGCTGCATCTTCGTGATTTGCCGGAGCACCGCCCGCAGGGACTCGTTGCGTTGTCGCACCGTCGCCAGCAGCTCCTGATTTAGGCGCTGCACACTCTGCTTCTGTCGCTCCAGCACCGCCTTCTCGCGCTGCGCCTTCTGCATCCAGCTGTCCTCGCCGTCGCCACTACCGTCAGCCCCGCGGTCGATGGTAAGGTAGACATCCGCGGTGGGAAGCGTCATCCCGGCGAGTTGCCTCTCCAATTCGTAATAGGCCATCTGTAGCTCCTGCACATGCGCATGTAATTCATTAAAGCGTCGCTCGGCGTCATCGCGGCTCATCTCAAGCGCATCCCGCGAGGCGGTCACGCGTCGCAGCTCTTCCATCGTTTCCCGCTTCGATAGTTCCGCTCGCACCATCCCATCCCTCGCTCTGTCGGCATTGTTACATTCTTCCTCAAGCGCCGCGCGCAGTGTAGTAATCAACTCCTGTAATTCATTTACACGTGTCTCGTAGTCCTTCACAATCTGCCTGCTTTCCTTTATGGACGCATTGCACTCACTCCGCACGCGCCTTAACTCCTGCGTAAAACCCTCCTTCTCGCGCTGCATGGATCGGGTTCTCTCCACTCTGTCGTTTCGCTCCTTCTCCAGCTGCGCATGCAGCAGTCCCAACTCCTCTTGATACTGGGTCACCTGCCTCTCTAGACGCTGCTTCAACCGCAGCAGCCGCTGTGGTTGCTTTGTTGGCACGGGTTGCGTTTCCAGTTCCTCTGCTTCTTGCCCTTCCTCTTCTCCTCTAGGCGTCAGGTCGCCGTCGCTGCTAGGCACGCCGCGTGTGTGAAACCCATCTGACGACTGGGCCTCTACAAGCTTCTCAATAAGCGCATTGTTACTCTGCTGCAGCTGCTCCACCTGGTCTGTCAGGTCCTCCAGCTGCCGCGAGAGGCGCTTGCGCGCGCTCTCGCTGGTTTGGAGTGTTGCCTGCCACTCGAGCCTCTCCTCGGCCGCCTTCTCAATGATCGACTCCAACGACTCTACTTTGCGCCGTAGTCGCTGTGGCTCTTCGTCTGCCTCCGCGGACACCGCACGCAGCGTGAGAAGCTCACTGTTTGTTGCCCCAATGATGAGCTCATACAGGAGGGTTTTTTGACCAAGCAGCTCTAACGTGGCGTTGAGGCACTCCTGCTCAAGCAGAGCACGGCTATACGCCTCACTGCGTGCGCACTCACATGCCGCCTCTTCCCACGCAATGCCCGCAACAGCGACGCGGCTACCAGCGTCACAGCGCCTATCCCCACCACGCTCCACATCGCCGCGGAGTGTGACGACCTGTTTTGCATGCGCGGCGACAGACCTGCGCCAATGCGACATTGACATACCGAAGACGTCACGATAGTAGCGCAGCCGGAGGTAGTACCGCTCGGACGTCTCCGTCTCCTCAAGAAGAAGTTGTTCGAGCTCATGAATGTCCCTTGCCTTTGCCGTCACTTCTTTTTTCAGCTTCAAGTTGCGCTGTTCAACATTCGACACACGCGTCAGCAGGTCGACGGTGGTTCTTTTTTCGTTGAAGTACTCGGCGCGGGTCTGCTCCAGCTGAGCGACGAGTTCGCTCTCCCGCTCCGCTGTCGACTTGGCGCTGCGCTCCACACGCAGCATCGTCCGCGTTGCGGCCAAGTCGGACTGCGTCACATCAAGTGAGTGCGCCTTCTCCGCGAGGCGCCGCTGCGTCTCGTTCAACGCATCTGCCGCGGCGTCCAGCTCCTGCTGCAGCGTCCTGATTTTTGCATGTAAACTCTTCCGCGCCCGCTCTGCCTCCTCAGCGCGCTGACGCTCGGCCTTCACCTCCCTCGTGAGCACACCAACGCGACGCTCCAACGCCTCCTCGCGGCGGCTTGACCGCTCCGCAACCACAAGCGGCGGTGGTGACTCCAGGCCGTTATGACCAACGCCCTGCTGCCAAGCTGGGGGCGATGAACGCTTCGAGTCCGGCCCCGCTTTCGCATCAGCAGAGGAGGCACTCGCTACATATTGCGACGGCTGCGGCTGCGGCTGTGCCTGCTGTTGCAGTTTTGGGGGCGGCATCCCAGCCCTCACAGAATCCTCGCGGTGGCGCCTTTTCCACTCTTCCAGCTCACCACCTTTCTGCAGTAGCGCCTCGTGCAGGCTCATAATTTCCCCACGTTGCTGGGCCAACTCTTCGCGAAGCGCCGTCGTGGATGAAATAAGTTGTCGCTGCAGCTGATTCTTCTCCTTGCGGAGCTGCACGTTGGCCTCGTCAAGATCTGCAACGCGTCGCTCAAGCGCCGCCAGCTCAGTTACTGGCACCATCTTCGACATTGTCGTCCGCATGGAGACCAACTGGGACTCAAGCTCATCCCTTTCGCGACGCATCGCTTGAATCTCCTCGTGGTGGACTTCCGCCGCCTTCCCCTCTTCCAGCTGGAACGTCAACTTCACAATTTGCTGCCGCAGTGCCGCAATCAGCTTCTGGAAGTGGAGGTCCTCGTTGACGGTGGCGACGTTGATCACCTTCTTTGTCACCCCCGCAAAGCGAAGTGTGTTGAGGGACTGCTGGTAGCAGTAGGCTGAGGGCGCGATGGTGGCGAGCATCATCGTTTTACTGTTGCCACCCAAGCTGTCGGAGAGCAGCCAGGTGAGCACGCTGTCGCGGTACGCGGGAATGACATGCTTTCCGGATTGCTTTTCAGATAGCTGCAGAATAACCCGCCCAAGCGTGGTGAGAGACAAGTTAATATTGCGGGCCTCCTCGAACCGATCACCTGTGGCACCAGACTGCGTGACCCGCTCACTCCCGGCGAGGTCAACCATGCTGACTTTGCAGACCCGCGTCTTTGTCACCACCGCGGCTTCCTCCCGCAATACTGTCACACGTGTGATGTGCAGCTGCAGGATAGCGTGACTGCGACTGCTGTACTCGTTCATTTTCGTCGATGACGTCGCGCGCTCACGCAGACCGGTCAGAAGCTGTCGCATGACACTAGCCGCATCGCGAACCTTCACAAGTGAGAGGCCCTCCACGTACGGTCCACGTGCCGGGTGCTGCCGGACACGTAACGGCGGCTGCAAGTGGCCGACCCCTGCACCGCCTTGAGAGGTTGATGACTCTCTACGCAAACCAGCGTTGCCCCCGCCATTGCTGTGGAACAGTAAATCGCGGACCCGTTCACAGTAAATTTCTAAAAAACAGCACTCCACATTATACGTGACGGATTCATCTTCCTCGCGCTCCTTTCGCATCAACTCGAAAATGTCCTCGCAGAGGCGTGGAATAATGCCGCGCTCCTCGGAACGCAGCACGTGATCCTCGGGTGGCCCAAGCAAACTGTGCGTCTTCCCACTGCCTGTCTGCCCATATGCAAAGAGGCATGCATTGTACCCGGTCATGACCGCCTCGTACAAACGCGGGCCAATGAATGCGTAGACGGATGCCTGGTCATCGTACTCCGGCACACGGGCGAAGCACGGCAAACCGCTAAAGGGCACCCGCAACGTGGTAACAGAGGACGTATCTGGAAAATTACTAACAAGACTGTTGCTCCTGGTGCATGGCAAATGGCCACCCGACACAAGAGATGCACTGCGGGAGAGAAGAGGTTGTGACATGCCCTCTGCAAGCGACAAACGTGGCGAGGAAGTTGCCGGGGTCGCCGATGAAGGGTCGTAAGGCAACACATCCGGCGGCACGCTCCAGAAGATCTTGTCAAACGTAAAGACGTGCTGCTGGCCGCTGATGCTGCTACTGGCGCTCATCGCTGTGTTAGCAAGGTCTATCAGGGTGACGGTGTGGTCGTCGAGGACGGTCACCGCACATTCAAGCGGCGACTCGCGTGCGTTGAGCGGCCGCACACGCACCGTCACAAACACCGCCGATGTCTCGGACGCCATTCAGAAACTATTGCCACCGCCCCGCCCCCGTCCTCTCAAGGCAATTGTACGGGCGCCGCAGCCCCGGTCGATGTGCTTACCCGCTTCCTCAGGCAATCAATGACCTCGACGGCGCAACGAACGCACGCAGAAATGCGCTCGCGGAACACAAAATGAGCACCAATCTATATCTTCTCCTCTGTGTCCTCGCACCCCCCACCCACCCACCACCACCTGCTGTATACGTATATGTATATGTATATATATACAGGTGTGCCTTGTATGTGTTTCACTTCCTTGCTTGCCTTCAATATTATTAACGGCCCCCTACTGCTTCACCCTTGCAGGGTGTAACAGCTTTCACCGCGCCACCTAAAACGCGCCACCTGCCCCGGAAAAAGGCAAGAACAGAGTGGTGGAGAGAAATGTCAGGCGACAGCGCCCACGCAGACGCGTAGAGACGGGAGGGAGATATAGATAGATAGAAAGTCGGAGTTAGCCCCTTGCATCCCGCGCATGCGTCAACGCGCGTGCGTTGGGAAGTCGATCCGGCAGCGGTGCCTGTGCCCCCAACCTGCACGACCGCACCACCGCACAGACCCACACCTCCCATCACGTACGCAAGCACCAAAGTATCGCTTAAGGAGCACCGCGACTACAGAAAAGAACAAAAAAAAACAAATAAAAGCGAGGCAGAAACAGCAACGCGGCCAAAGTTTTCGTAGCCAGGCACTCGCATGCATGCTCACAGGCACAGAGGGAAATTTAAATAACAAAAAAAAATGTGGAAAACGCTTCTACCGCAAACAAACAAAAAAAAAACAAATTCTTCCGCACACACACACTCTGACTTAGATAAAGATATTCTCGACACGCCCCCATACGTGTGTGCGCAGAAGAGCAATGGGAGCGGCCGGAAAGGATACAAGTAAGCAGCGGCCAGACGCACGCCTGACACAATCGGAAGGGAAGAAGGCGGGGCGAGATGTCTCCCCCAATGATGTTTCTCCTGCTGCTGAAGTTGCTTGCTTTTAGACGTTGCTGTGGCTCACTCTCCCCCCGCGCGTGCGTCTCCTGCTGGGCGGTGTTCCATGTGCTCCACGAAAAATTCCATGCGGTCTCACACGTTTCTTTACTTTGTCGTCTTCTTTTTTTTTGTGTGTGGGTGTGCGTTATTATTTGACTCATTGATGGATGGGCGTTTCTCTCCGTGAGAGGGGTGGGTGGGGGAACCTCGCCTCCTCGGCGGCGTCGCCCTCGTCCTCCTCCATCCTCTGCTTCCGCCAGTCGCGTGCCGCAGCCCCACAGTCACACGTCATCGGCGTCCCCCCGTTGCGCCCGCGGCAGACATCTACGCAACGCCGGGTCCGGCCGCGGCGCCGTCTTCGTCGTCTTTCGAGGGCTGCGTCTCCTTCCGTTCCGCGCTGATGCTCCTCGTCGCAGACAACGAGCGGCCAATACGACACATATGCTGCACGGACTCCACCTCCCACAACAGGCGACTTCGCACTGCGTCCTCAATGTCACGCAGCCTCAGCAGGTTCTTTTTCAGGTACTCCAAGCCCCCATTCAGCATGATGGGCGTCTCAATAACCTCCATGATGTTCGGTCGCTCGTGTGGGTTGACGTGCAGCATGGCGCAGCAAAGATCGCACAACCCCTGACTGTACCTCTCTCTTGACAGCGGGTCATAGCTGCCCTCTGTCAGCACTCGCTGCATCAGCTCCTGCATGTCGTTGCTGATAAACGGTTTTCGCAGTGCCATCAGTTCGTAAAACAGGACGCCCATGGACCAGATATCCGCCTTGTAGCTGTAGCTTTCTCGGCGCCAGAGCTCCGGAGAAAGGTAGTAGGGTGTCCCGCAGAACGTTTTCTCCACATCAGAAGAGAGGCTTTGGTTATACTGTTGCGACAAACCGAAGTCACCTAATTTAATAAGCCCGTTTTTTTGAAGTAAAACATTGGACGTTTTAATATCACGATGCATGATCTTCTTCGCATGAATGTACTTCACGGCAAGACAGATTTGCGCCATGATGATAAGGACCTCCTTCTCCTTGTAATACAACGGTGCGGCCTCTGTGACGCCTTTGCGGGGTGCAAAGGTGATACCGTATTCTACCCGACACGAACGACTCGCGCGAACCTCCACTTGCGCCATCAAATCCCCCCCGTCAGCGTATTCTAATACGTGCAGCAAGCTCCCTTCCTGCTCGTATGATTCCAGGAGACGAATGATGTTTGGGTGGTCGCAACTCAAGATGTTCACAGCCTCGGCGCGAGCAAAATTTTTATTCTGCTCCGACATGAGCGCCAGATTAGAGAGCTTACCCACGACAGTTTCATTTGTGGCGTTGTCGATGAGGGTCCAGACGGTACTCCAGGCGCCACGGCCCAAGAGGCGCGGCTGGCGGTACTTCCACGGCACCGTCGGCCCAATGAGGGCGGGAAAACGCTCCTCGAGGAGCGTGCTGCTCTTGTTGCCGCCGCCGGGACTGTCACTGGCGGCCGCGAGACTGACGCTCCCGGCCGGCGGCTGCGTTTGCCGCATAGAGGCGACTACCGTGTCAAGGCACCCGCGCCGACGTTCCTGTGGCCCCCCAACACCACACACAAAACAGACACACAAAACGTATGCGGCGGTGGGGTGCAGCGAGAGAAAAATAAAAATAAAAAAACTTTGGGTTCAACTTCTATGCGCTGTTGTTGCTGTTGTTGCTTCTTTCTCCGTTGCTTCGGCCGGGTGGTCGTGACGCCACGCCGCCCGCGTGCTGCCTTTTTTCTTATTTACACTACACGGCACCACACACACACACACGCACACACCTATCCCACCCCCGTCCTCCTCTTCCTTCTCGGGCGTGGGATGCGCCGCAGCGCCGGCGACGAGAGCGGAGAGACAGAGAGCGGCAGAGACGGTGAGGAGGACATGCAACACACGCACACACACTGACGGTTGCAGAGGTGCAGTGCAACTCGGTGCAGACCTCGTTTGTCGGCTCCCCGCCGCGCGCACCACGGCAAACTTGTTGTTAGTCACACTCCACACTATTTAGCGCAAAAATAAACAAAAAGAAAAAGCAACTAAATAAATGCAAGCAGCAGTACTAAAAAAACCAGGCCACATAAATTAAACCAGAAGCCTCCAAGCACGCATGCACGCGCTTGGTTACACCTCCTCGCCACTTCACACTCCATCTGGCGCGCCAACAGGAAGCCACGACTTGAGGCATCGTCGCCGTCACGGCAATAAATCATGGGTTTCTTTCTCTCCGTGGCCCCAACGCAACTTTCAAGTCATCCCGAGGAGCAAGCGTTGCACCACACGCCCCCCACCTCCTCCCCCACACACAGTCGCACAGAAGCAAGAAGAAGGCGGAGGGAAAGCAACCAAAGCTAAGCGCGAGTGAGGAATAAAGAAGCCTCCCCTCATGCAGATAGGTTTCTACCAAAAGCAATAAGTAACGTAGTCATCAAAGCAGCATAAACGCAAACTCCTCTCCCTCTCCCCATCATTCCCCCAGGTCCATTTTCGTTATCTCGCCTACTCTTTTCTTTCTTCATCCCTCTTCCCCCTTTTTTGTCGTGCGTGTGTGTGTGTGTGTGTTTTATTGCCCTATCGCAAACAAACAAAAAGTCGCTTTACGCATCTACTCATCACTGGCACCAAAACACAAATAAAGTTGTGCGTGCATGTTCACTTTCCTTACCCTTCTTTTCCTTCCTCAATGCCGCTGCGATGTTGGTAGCGGAAACAAAAAAAAAAGTAGGATGGGGGCTGACAAGGACGATGGTGCCCCCAACAGCGTCCCCACTCCTGCAAAAAGAATTACGGCTTTTACCCATACCTCCTCTCCTAGTCCTTGATAAAGGTTTTCCCTTTGCAGACTCAAGCTGCATTGCCGCTAGCGCCTCCGTGCTGCATGGCCGACGCCTCGAGGAGTTGCGTCATGTCGCATGGCACACCTGTGAGGAATACAACGCCCAAAAAGCGAAGCGCCTTCAGCGACGCGGCCTCCAGTGGTTCATCTCCTGTCTCAACGATCTCTTTTGATTCAATCTCACCCGTGAGCGTCCGTCGAGAAAGCCTTAGGCAAACGGTGCCGGGTTTGCCGTCGTGTTCCGCGCTGATCTCGGGTTTCGGCAGCCGCCGACGCCTAATCTCGTCCAAGAGGAAATCCGAGGGTGTGTGTGGATGCCACTCAAACTTGTTGTAGACATTTACTTCCTTGGCTCCTGGGGCGTAAAGACGCCGCAATTCCTCCAAAGAAAGAGTGGAGGCTTGGCAGACGCAGAGATCACGCGACAAAAACTTCAGCAGCTTCTGGCTTGGGCCCGCAAGAATCTCTGGAGCAAACGAAAAACAGCCCGCTTCGCCCAAAGCATCGCATAAAGCCGCCTCCGCCTTTCTCCGTGCATTCCAAAGCGATCCAGTTCCAACTGCCTCGTATTTCTTCGACCCCTCCCGCGGAGTCCCCCTTTGTTCCACAATAAGAGCAACCATCTCACATATCCAGGGACCCACTACGCCACTAGAGACATTTTTTGTCTCCTTCTGCCAAACAATGGCCCAGGGCTGCTTCGCCAACTGTTGCAGCCACCATCGTGGGTCAGCTTCCCAAAAATGCTGCTTCACCGTGAGCCTTTTCCTTTGCTCCATAATGGCCTTGCTCACGAGCTCCTCCTGTATCGCCAGTGCCTTAGCGGCAACTTTCGCGACCTTCCACTTCCGCCGCATATTTTCCATAACGATAAAAATGGAGTTGCGTAACCTTGCACGACCGCGACTTTGAATAAAACCGCGGAGCGTCATACAGGAATCGTACCGTATAACAACATTGCAACTGGAAATATCCAGTCCCTCTTCAGCTACCGAAGTTGCCAAGAGAAGCCTTGTCGCGCCTTCTCTGAACTCCTGCAGCACCCTCCTCTGTGCTGCATCGGTCATATGCACGTCTTCATCGTTCAAGAGGGCATTCCCCTTACCAACAAAAGCGCTCGGTTTGTATATATCATTGAAGTGCGTTTTTTTAATTTCGCCGAGGATGCGATACGCGGAAGCGCGTGTGTCACAAAAAACGATCCCACGGAAAGCCACTTTCGCGGAAACTACACAGTCAGCAAACCACTTCAGTAACTGCATAAGAAACAATAACTTGGACGAGAAAGTAAGGGAATTTGTAGGCGCACCTTCAGCACCCAGCCTCAAAGCATAGGCCGGGTAGCGCTCCCTGATGTGTCGCATCACCGCAATTACACCTTCGAGAAACGGCAGAAGCAGGGCCGCGCCGTATCGGTCTTTGCGCAGGCAATCAAACACGCTTTTATGCACTACCAAGTTGTACGCCTGTTCCAGCGATTCTTCTTCCAATGCCATGAGAGCTTTTGAGACTTGTAGGAGGAATGAAGCCACGGCAAAGGCAAACAAATCATGCCTTCCATTTAGCCCTTGTAAGGCAGCAGCTCGCAGTTGTTCGCATTTATTTAGGTATGCCGGCGTCGCCATATAAGATTTGCGTAATTTCTTAAGAAGCGAGTGGTTTGCGACTTCGTTACGTTCGTGTATTTCATTGGCCATATTGCGAAGGTACAACTCAAACGCGGCCTCCGCAGGGGAAAGGTTGTACTCCATCGCAACTGTCGTGGGAATAGGGACCTTTTCTCGCAAGTCATGTAAGTTCGCTGTTACAGAGACGAGCTCGCACTGAGTAATTTCGAGCAATTCAACAAGAGTCCCATAGTGTGTGAAATGTAGTACAGGGGATGCGGTGAGACCCAGAATCTGCGGGTGCGGCGCTGCCGCAAAGCTGCCCTCAGCTGGGCCTGGCACACCATTGAGAGTTCTCACCTTGTGGGTCATCTCCACAAGCTTTCGCGGGAAGCCTCCCAGTGCGTTATGCACCTCATCAAAGATGACCAGACTGATCTCTTCGGCAAGCGCCCAGGGAGACTCCATAACCCAACTATAAAAGACGCTATCGATAATAACCAGTGCCTGGGAAGGCCTATTCACAAACTGACTCCAGTCCTTCACAGATTTCTTTGGGCCGCTGACGGTCTCTACTCCAATCCCTTCGCCCATCACACGTCGCAAGACGTTGGCCTGCTGCGCCACCAACGGGACGCGATGCACAACAAACACCACCTTCTTGCCGGGAAATTCAGTGATCTTCGCCAAGGCCACTGCGGCAGCAACCACCGTTTTTCCACCCCCCGTGGGAGGAAGATGATGCTATCTTTGGCAACCACCTTGAAGTACAACTCCTTTTGATACTCATAGAGCGGAAAGCCAGGAAGCCCTCTCGCCAAATCATCAGTTCCCCCATCAACTGTAGACATTTTTTTTTCTGAATAAATTAACTCGGTTTTCCTACGCCTGATCGCGGGTGAAGCGCTGCGGTGGGAGCGTCCGGAAGATTCGGTACAATTGCGTATGTGTGGGTGCGCGGGTCTGGTGAACAAGAAAAGAGAAAGCAGAAGAAGCCTGCACGCGACCAGGAATAGGGAAAAGGAAAAAGAACTGCACATAAGAGTTCGCGGTCACACGCCGCAAACCTCCGTTCCCTCTCCCCTTCCCTAGTTGGCATCCGAAGCAAACACCCACCCACGCATTCACACACAGAAAGAGACACAACAATGAAAAAAAAGAAAAGACTGTGGCGGAGGGCGGAGTGAGTCAGCAGCATAAAAAAAACGACAGAAGATTATGGCGCTAACCTAGAAAGAGCAACCCTCGCAGTTGCGTTCGACTACTCCAGCTGCTGCATACAAAAAATGAACTGCTGCACAGCGTTCCGTCGGGGTTCAGCAAATCTTGGTTGCCGTGACGTGAAGAAGGTGGTGCGAAGCTCACACGCCTGCGCAAACTCGGCAGGTGACAACTTCCCCGATCTATCCAAATAAAAAATCCGCACCAGCCTATCTGCATCCTCTCGTGTGAGGTGCGAAAGCCCTTTACACGCCTCCAGCACGCGATAAAGCTCCGCACCATCCAGTTCACACTCACCATTGCCTTGAAGAGAGGAGTTCGCCCTTCGCTTTTTGAACTCTGGCGGCGGCGGCGGCGGCTGCTGCTGCTGCTCGAGACGCGTGGCTATGGCGCCCGGGAGCTTTGCCCTTAGGGCAAGATTCATCGCATGGGCAACCGCGTCGCACTCGCAGAGAACGTCAAGCAGCTTAAGGTAAAAGCCCCAGGAGATGAATTCCTTCTCCGGGCTTATCCCCGTCCTCTCCTCCAGCAGCTCCTCCTGTGCGTCGGAAACGCCATCAACGGTACTTCTGCGCCTTTCCGTAACGCCACCGCGGAAAATAATGCGTCGAAGGTCCTGCAGGGTGATTTGACCGGTGTTCCTTGGATCGCGCAGGCCAAACTCCACCGCCCACACCTCCCGCCGGAGCTCACGCAGCAGTAACCAAAACTCGTCAAGCGAGATGCCATTCTCGCCGTGCACTCCAAAGAAGTGTTCGGCCAGTGGGGATGTTAACAACGCATCCCCTGTGACTGTCGACGCGCCGCTCTTTCTTTGCCTTGAGGCCTCTGAGCCGGCTGCGATGGGAGCAAACGAGACCCCAGAGCTAAGGTCTGTCGTCGGCCTTTGCTGATTTGGGGAGTGTCGCCGTTTAATCACATGCACCGCGGGGTCTACCATCAACGCATTCAGCAAGTGCCGGAATTCACGCCTCGAAAGACGCCCATCCTCGTCCCTGTCAAAGACCCCAAAGGCCAGCTCCAGGTGATGGCGACGCGTCGAGAGCAGAGTGAGGAGAATGCAAAATTCATCGTACGAGAAGCTACTATCGTTGTCAACGTCGACGAGATGAAACACGTGCTCTAGACGTTGACGGACATGGGGTGGGAGGTGGTCCTGCCCCTCGCTGGCAAGCGACTGCCTGCTCTCCTCATCAAGCAGGCACAAACACGCGATAAGGCCGGCGGGATCCAAGACCTCGCTGCCGTCCGCATTGCGCGCCGCATAGTAGTGGAACCGGGCGCGTGGATCCGTTGGGGCCAGGGCCCTGAAACTATGGTGTTGCCCATAACTATCGGTGGCATACGCGGATTGACGCCACCACGCATATGCAACAAGGCCACCGCCGCCAAACAACAGTCCTGTTGTCGCAATAGCAGCGGTCGATATCCGGCGTGTTGCGGCCATGTGGGGTTCCTTCGCATCGCACCAAACACAGCGCAAAAAAATTTGATAGATGATTAGAAACTCAAATAGACCGATTAACGGAGGATGTATGTGAGTAGTGCGGCGGGGTTGGGGGCCTTGTTACGGCGCTTTCCACTGACACAGGCCCATTCCAGCCCCCAACGTCGCATCGGAAGAGAAAGAGGAATAAATACCCAATAAAGAATGAGAAAACTTAAAACTAAAAAGTTGGAACCTGGAAATAATGGCAAACACGTAGTAGAGCATCTACTCTTTTGTCCCCTTCTCACCGCCGTTGAAGCGCGACTTTAAGAGCTCAAGAAATTCATCCAATGTGGTAGACAGTGTACACAATGACTCCACCTCCGCGGGGGAGATAGTAAGTCCCACCGAATCACCCTCGCCATGGCTATTTTTCGCTTGAAGCATGGTGATGACCTGCCGCACATGTTCCGCCTCAACGTCACTAAGCCTGGGTAATGGTACCGGCTTCTTCACACACGTGTCGCTCCCAAGCAAACTTACTGTCGTTTTCTCATCTACTTCGTCGCCCTCATCGAGAAGGGTAGACCCAAAGTGTAATCCCAGCATGTCCAGCAACGCGGGCAGCCGCACGTAGTCGAGGCGCAGTTTAAAGCTGAAACGCCCAGGTCTCACCAGCGCCGGGTCAAGCATCTCAGGGTGGCTTGTGACCATGACCACAATGCGGCCAGGGGTGTCGACGGCGCCATCAAGCACATTGAGCAAACCCGAGAGATTTGCCGCATCGGTCGACTGCAACATCTTCAGCAAAGAACTTTCGGCTGCCCTCTCTTTATCGAGAGACCTACTCCCCAAGGCGGCGGCGGAGGAGGAATCAGCGGGGGAGCGGGAACCAAGCGCTTCAAGCAGCGGCCGGTTACCAAGAGGGGCGTGCTGGCCAGAGGCTGAGCCAGCACCAGCATGATCCTCTTTCACTTCGTCCGTGCTTTTGCTCCTACCGTCCTCCGCGCTGTCCTCGTCGTCGAGGTCGACGGTAACAAAGACGTTATCTCCATCGTTGCCGGATGCGTCGGCGGAGGCAGTTGCCGCGGCATCGGCAGAGGCCTCCAGCGTGGCTGCCCGACACTTCCGCACACATCTTTTCCGCACACGTGAACGCACCAGCGGGCTCGACGCGTCCACGTCATCCAGGAGAAAGACGACGTCCTCAGCGCCAAAGTACGTGGGCTCGGACTCCCCGACGCAGCGAAACTCACGGCTGAGGAAGATGTCGCACAGTTCCTGATTTGACCCCAAAAAGGACAAATTGACAGAAACCAAGTGACGTCGTGTGTACGCAGCGAGCGCCTTCACAAACGACGTCTTGCCCGTGCCGGGGGGACCGTACAGCAGAAATCCAAGCTTCACAGGGAAGCCCTCCGTCGCAAAGCGTCCCTTCCTCGCCAAAAAGTCATCCAAGACCTTCAAGACTTGTCGCTTCTCTGGAAAAAAAAGGGTGTCGAACGTTTTGTGCTGGGAAAGGGGAAACCGCTTGAAGTACATCTGATCCTCGCCGTCCCCGTCGGCTGAGGGCCGCTGGAGCTGCAGAAGAACTCGCCCGTCATTCAGGACGGTTGGCAGCATGCGAATGTAGTGCTCCAACGCGGCATCCAAAAAGCGCCTAACCCGTTCGTCCGCATCTCTGGCCCCTAAAGCTCGCAAGAGAACGGTGCGCCGCACCCCCTCAACACCGTCCTTGTTCTCGCGCTTCCGATCATACGTCAACTCAACGCCGTCCTCGCTGACTGCGACCCACGAGCCATCCGTCGGCACCCGCACCAACACGTATCGCTCCAACTCTTTGCGGCTACGCCAGTTCACATCCTCGCGAAAAACATCATCGCAGTCATCAGAAAAAGTCATGCGAAATGGAGAATCATAGCGCTCTTCCCACGAACTCCGCAAAGGATCAATCAACAACAGCAACGAGACCTTATCCTCCCACACCGACTTCGGCAGCGAAGTTCGCCAAAAGTTATGGTAGAGAAAATAAAAGATGGCATTCTGCAACAGAGCATTACGGTTAGAAATCATACCAACCGTAAGCGTTGAGAGGTGCACCGTAACACTCCGCTCCACATAAACGCACGATCCACGCCAAAAACGCTCCTTTGCCGCCGCGAAAACCTCAGGCAGCAGCACACGCAGTGCAGCACCGACAAACAGCACCACCAGCAGCAGCACCTCTCGCATCACCACAACCGTCCCGAGTTGATCCAGCAGATACGACAGCGGGGACAACGCGCCTGCAGTAAAACCATACTCCTCCGCTTGAGAAGGCAGCATAGCTCCCGGAATCATCGACTAACAGAACCAATAAGCACGACACACCTCTATGACAGACCAAAGAAACAAATTAAGTAAACAAAAAACACTCAAGAACACAGAACAAAAAAAACACATTCAAAAAGTAACATGCACAAAAAAAAATTCAAACACTAAAAAAAAGAACTAGGCAAAACATAACTCCCAACAACCACAAAAAAAATAAAAATAAACTTGGCTTCCCACACAGTAAAAAGTCGGGGGTCCTCTAAGCGCTGGGCGTCGCCCTCGCCTTCTTGCCGCTCTTGTGCTTCTTCGCCAGCGCCTTGTTCAGGCTCGGCATCACGCCACCGCGCGACAGGGTCACGTTCCGCAGCAGCGTGCCGAGGTCGTCGTCGTGGCGCACGGCGAGCGTCACCGTGCGGGGCGTCAGGCGCTTCGGCTTCTTGGCCTGCTGGCTCGCCGCCTTCACGGAGAGCTCCAGCAGCTCAGCTGTCAGGTACTCCAGCACCGCCGCCATGTACACGGCGCCCGACGCACCGACGCGGCGGGCGTACTGGCCACGGCGCAGCAGGGAGCCGACGCGGCCCACGGGGAAGATCAGGCCGGCCTTCGCAGAGCGGCTGCCGCCGCGCTTCTTCGACGCCTTCTTCGCCACCTGCTTCGGGGTTGCCATCGTTCGACTGCAGAAAAAAAAAAGTATAGTT